GGCCAATGCGATGCTGCAGATGGTGGCTGCCCTCCCTGACCGTCACCCTGGGACTGGAACCCTGGTTCGATCTTGCGATCGGTGGGGGATGTGCCCCTCTACCTCCACCAGTCGGCCTTTTACCACAGCTCTACCATCTACCATGTGTGTACTATATTACCAAATGTCGAAAAGGCGGCTGGGGACGGTGAGGACGGACAGCATACTATTGCCTGACACTTTGGTGGTTAGTTTGGTTAGTTTGATTTCAAGGATCGGCCGCTCCTGTCAGCGCTGGAGTCCTGCGTGCGCAGAGAGTATTTCCTAGTGGTCGCCTGCCTACCATCTGGGCAATCACCTGAGGTTGTAACGCGGAAGAGCATCAGAACATCAATGTCCTCCACCCAAACCAGGGGTTATCGGCCATGGAGACGGCAATGATGACTCGGCTGCCTCGGGACGACGACGGTATGCGTAGAGAGTACTCCTTTCAATGACGACATCAAGACAGCACTCACCGAAAGGGCCGCCCAAACGAGGTCCCATAATCCCTTCGGTCCCCTTCCCGTTGCTGGTTGCTACTGTATGTGGCTCGTATCCACCGCAAGAACTTCAAACTCATCGCCAACACCTGTGTGCGTTGTGTCAGCGTGCTTTCGAGTTTCAATTCAACCTTGCGATATGCCTGACCCCACTGCGCGGCACGATCTTTTCGGGAACCCTAATCATCCTTTGCCGGCGCCGGGCCCATGGTGATGATGGCACGATGGAGCCCTAGTGGTCTTTGGATGCCGACCGGGGAGCTCTGGGACGCGGCATGCGGGGACAAACGGAGTTTTGACCGAGGGGGCTCGGGAGCGGGCCAACCAGGCTGGCTTGACGAGCCCGCAGTGCTGCATGTCTTGCGGCCTTTCGTCTTGGGGTCCAATCAGGAATCGGCTCGATAGGACGGTCGCAACACAGCCTCGCGATGGCTGACGGCTGCAGCTATTCGCTGTCGTCGTTGACTCGGTCGCTCAACAAATGGAGCATCAGTGACGTCGAAAGTGGAAACGGAATCGCCGGCAGGAATTAGGAGACGGAAGATGTAAATGTTCGCAATAGCCTCTTCTTGCTGTGTTTCATCATTGGCAGTCTCCCCCACTAAACTTTAGTTGCTGCCAGTAAGTGCATTTACAATTGCTTGCTTGGTCGGCTAGCACCCAATCAGGCATCAAAATCAGGCAGCAGTCCTTGGGGGTGCTGTTGATGCTGACCATGTGAAAGAGCCAACCTCCCAAGAAGCTCGACGGAAACAAGGAAGGTGCAAAGCTGCAATCTATCTTACCCCACCACAGCAAACGTTCATCGGTTATGTTGTCGACGCCGTTGAGATGAGATGCGAGATTCTGGGCTCATTTCCAGCCCCCATCCATGATATCGCCGAACACTTTTATATCTCTTCTGCCAACACGAGCCTCTGTGAGTAATTTCTGAGTGGCTGTGAGCCATGACCATGATTCGGTCCAAGGGATATACGTGGTAACTGACCGAAAAACATAGGTCTGCCTCCCGTTAAGTGCCACAGTGTATACAGGAAAGTGTGGCTTCAAAACGACTAGAAACAGTCAAATGAGCGTCAGATTAAGCTTCATCCGCACTCATAGATGCCCGTCTTATGTCGCACAAACTCTACAAGCCACCATCAGGACCCCCTCTCGGGTTGCTGTTCGGTCTGCCTTCTGCCGTACAAGGAGGTTCCCAACATCAGCTTCTCGATATTCATCTCTCCTGCGCTTACAGGAACCCATCGCCGTGTGGTATACTGTCGCCCAGTCTTGAGGGCTCATGCCACACAGTGCCGGAATCCGGACGGTTTCAGATTTGGGCGCAGAGAGACTGTGGCGATTACTACCCCAGATTCTTTAAAATGCCTTGAGATGCGGCACAGAGTCTTTTCACATTGTGTCGGGCCTTTCGAGTTGGCTTTGAACCCAACTGTCATGCCTAGTTCAAGGGGCAAAGCTGCCTTTTGGCCCCCAACCCGCCCCCACGTTCCCAGCAAACTCGGTAAACTCACGTTTCACCTTGAAAATCCACAGAGAGGTCCTTTTGTCGCGGTACAATACGAAAAGACACTCGGCAGCGAGTATCGCTCCTGTGCCTTTCTGGGTTGATGGCCACCATGGATACCCATCGAACTGTGTGTGGTTGCTGACATCGAAGTCGGTGTCGAGCATACCATATCCGATGAAGCTGTCCGGTCTGACTTCGAGATCACCTCTTGTATGCAGGAGACTGGACCCCACAGGCTTTCTTAGCCAACCGTCGGCTCTCTTTCAATAGGGGGTAAATTGTGACCACCTGGGGAGCCTTTTCTGACCCCCTGACGTCTTCCGTCCTGCCCTCGCGGTGTCATGGGACACCACCTCTTTCTCAAGTGAGATGGATGCGTGATATTACATGCAAAGACGATGTGAATAGCAGCAAAATAACCGGTACGAGGAATGTCTCTGGCACCGAACAGTTTTGGTTTGCCCTCAGGTCCAACTGGATGGTCACACACAGGGCCATAGCAAGGCACATATTCAGACTCCCGATTGCACTGCCCAAGCCAGACTCGCATGAGTCGGCATGGAGAGATGGGCATTAGCGAAACAGTCAGCATCTTGCACGGGACGGGACGAGACGAAACGGAACGGTTGCGATCCTGAGGAATCCTCCGCAAAGGCGTCGTCCACCCCCGACCGTGCGTCTTGTTTGCGCGATCCTTAGACTCCGTCCTCTGTCTCATGATGAGGATCATAAGAGTCACTCGCCTTAGGCAAACACATCCCAAGTCTAGCTGACCCTACCCAGCTGAAGAGCCGGAATCCTGCTTGGTCCACCGTGTCCACTTCGTCAGGCTCGTGACGTCTCATCAACCACATGGCAGCCTACTTGGTAGAGTTTTCTTTGGGACTCTTAGATTAGCTGGTTGTTGGAGCTGGGCCAACCACAATCAAGGACCACATATCGACCAGAAGCAGCGCCGTAATACAACGGTGATTGCGTGACGACTCTCTCCGGGTCCTTCCCCGGCGCAGTCCGAGAAATTGTGCCTGTGAGATTCCCGAGAAACCGGGCACAGTTTCAGAAGCAGTATACAGATCGCCGAATATCGCCAGCAACGACGGAGAAAACGGAGATGAGTCAACGACAGACAAATGAAGGTAGGTACAAGAACCCGATGTATCTTTTGCTTCACACCTCTATCCAATACTCTCACACCACCTCACACCACACATGCTCAACAGCAAGAACTGGGATATCTTCACCGGGTTATGCTACCTGTCTTATACTAGGCGCCTCGAGGTTTGGGTAGCACCACTGACTCAGCCCAACGAGGACTCCTGGTTAATCAAGCTCGAGGCTGGACAGGTATCCACCTTCTGGCAGGTCGACGACAGTCCAACAATTGTCGAGGCATATTCAATCTTGAGTTCGTGTTGAACTCGGTGAGATCAGGTCTGTCCAGTCAATATACACCGTCACGATGTTTCACCCTCCTCTATCGCCAGACTGCCGGAGAGCCTCCCATCGTTGCGGCTCTCTCGGCATTTCTACTCTCGGCCAACTCGGAAATCAATCGCAAGCCTGTGAATGAGAACAAATTCTTACCCTGTAGACCCCCCTTTCCCGTCCCAAACTGTGTATATAAACAAGTCCTGGACAGAATTGCTATCCTTCAAGACCTATAGGCCATCTTTCCAGGCCTATCAACTGTCTCTTCAAAGGTATGGTTCAGTATTTTTGCAGCGTCAGTTATTCTGTCCACGACATACGTGATACCTTTGATCATCCCGTAATGCAAAACCCCCCAAACATCAATAATCAACCTCCCAGAATATCTCCCTGCTTTGCCTACCTACAGACACCACATCCGCACATGCCTCATTTTTACATGATACAATGTTGTGATTCCTCATACCCACACTCACAAACATCAACCGACGTTCAGAATGAGAAAATAAGCGCGCGCGGCCAAAAAGAGGTATCGGATACCTCGCAATCAATTACCCAGGCCAACAGATCGTCGGCCTGGCTTTTTTTTCATGTACATCATGAACAGTGCATAAACCGAGGCACAACATATTTGAAATCATGATATCAGTATTTTCGAAATCATCAAGGCTGCTCTCGGGCTGGTGTGCAAGTGTAAAATCGTGGTGAATCTCGGTTACAGAAGAAACTAACCTATCATACGCCTTTAAATAAAATGAAGCCCCGTCAACAGGCAACTCTCGTAACGACCACCACGGGGAGGGTATTCATCTCCATCGTTGTAGCCCGCCCCCCTTCCCCCCCCCCCCTTAAAGTGAGTACCATGTTTGCCATATCCTTATTCCAGCCAACAGCTTCCACTTGGCGTGTTGTGTTTATGATCTCGATCGTTATTATGGGTGTACGTACAACTTCACAATAAATCCACAGCAAAGCTACCCACCGAAACAGTTGTATATTGCTCGGGTAAGTAAATTCTTTGACTGAAACGCCGAGGAGGTGGGCCTTTTGGTGTAGGTAACTACCTGCGGATGGTGTCTTTCTTCGTCTTCGTATGAGATACTTGCTAAAGAAGCCGATTGTACCTTAACAAGTCTTGATGTAATGGAAATATATTACCGCGTTGCTTATCACCTCTTTCAAAAAACAAAACGGATATGTACAAGACCCAAAAGACAAACACACACTGCAGGCCCTTAACCTCGTCAATATCTAATGCACTCTGTTAGTTTTATATACTATACAATACCTCCCCCGTCATATACTCGAATAATGATTCTCTACCCCATCATGCACCTTCGTGATGTTATGTTCTATGTCAAGAGTAGTGGTATAATACACGTCCATCAGTCGGCTAGAATACAATAAAACTCGCCCTTTCTAGGCCTGGCCAACCAAAATCGTCTTCTCTCATCTATGATTTCATCCTCCCTCTCAAAATTGCCCTCCGCTTCGCCCTTGCCCTCCTCGCGGCGAGTGGCCTTTGACCCTCTATAATCTCACGTTCCTCCCGGGTGTATCTCTTTGGATTGCCCTGACCGCAGCTCCTTCCTCCGTCTCTCCCTTTCCCCCCGTGCCGCCAGCGGTTTCGGTTGCTGGATCTTAGGCTCATCTTTCTGCACGTGAATTGCACCGCGACCTGGAACCCCAGGCTTTTTCCCCCGGCGCACGGCCAGCAGCTCACTCGCCTCAAAAACAAACCACCTATTTTTCCGCGCCGCCTTGAGCAGGGCCTCATCCTTGGCTGTAGCCCGCTTGATCATCTCACAAAGTGAAAATCTCGGCCTGAGAGAGAGATGTGCCGTTTTTGACCAGTCCCAGAAAGAGCGGATATCGTTGGTGGGTGCCGCTGATGCCCGATGTTTCCAATAATCATGACGGCGAAAGTCAGATAGCAACAGCCGTTTGTAGATGTCGGGCTTTGACAGGCAGACCTTTGCCGTCTCTTTGTTCAGCCACTGCTTCCACCGTTCCACTCTGGAAACTCCCCTCTTGATCAACGACTTTTCCAGAACTAAAATCTTGGCCAAATGTCGTTTGCTTCGAACGAAACGACCTGCCTGTACCCACTTTTCAGGCAAAGTAGAGAATCCCAGGTACTCTGTGAAATCAGGCGAGGTCGCCTTCAGGAGCGTCGCGACGCGGGATCTCATCAGATGTGAGTCAAACCCGGCGAGGACGGCATGACGGAATATGTAGGTAGTCAGGTGGAGGCGCCTAGATGTCCAGGCCATCGAGAAGAGCAGTCGGTATGTGATCTCGTCTGGCTGTGCTAGGCTGTGCTTGGAAAAGAATTCCAAGGTTGACATCGCCAAGCCGAGTTTCCGCTGGTCCCGGCAATGGGAGAGTATTGTATTCAACGTAATTATATCCGGCCTTTCTCCAGCAGCAATCATAGCCTCAAGAACCTGGAAGAGGCTGTTGAGCTGCCCTGAGGTGCCGTATTTGTGAATCAAGATATTCCCGATCCAGACCGTCAGGCGCCAATCGGGACCATAAAGCTCGCGCTGGCTCTGAAGAAAAGACTGAAAATCTTGCTTCAGTTCAAGAGCCCGGTGCAGGTCGAGGCCAGCCATCTCTGCGTATATCCGGCGCATGCATTCTGGGTCCGTAAGATAACCCTTCGTGTTCATCGCCCGCAGAATGTAGCGCCTAACGTCTTCAGCCTTGATTATTCGCAAGAAAAGAAACCAAGTTTTGAAGTTTGGCGCATGCCCTTCTCGAACCATCGCACCGAGCGTCCGCTGGAAGGCTCGGAGGTGCTTGGACTTGACTGCGAATTGGGCAACCCAGTTGAAAACATCGGCATCGAGTTTAAGACCTAAAGACTTCACGCGGCGTACCAGCCCGCCTGGCACATGGGTGAAGCGGGATCCATGAGGTGATTGGGCGAGATATCGAAGAGCGTCTTTGAGGGCGGGAAGCGAAACTGCATCAACGCACTCCTCATCATAAAAAGCGCGCTGCAGCTGGCGGACAACGACATCCACATGTGTGGCCTGTTCATCACCCTCATTCCCGTATAAGAAGCGGTGCTCACCAGGCGTCAGTTGGCCACCCACGAGTCGGCGAACGTAACGCAGGAAAGAAGCCTTGGTCCAAATCTCGCCAGGTTCCAAGGGTGGAATCTGATCTGCCCTAACCGCGAGGCGATATGGCTCTGGGTGAATTTCATGAAACCTCGCTAGTTCACGGGGACGCGAGACGGGCTTCCTGAACTGCATCTCCGTTGTGCTGTCTTTTCTCTGCTTCGAATCTTTGGCTTTGGGGCCCGCGATTCGCAAAGACAACTCCTCCACCGTCTTCGGTGAAAGCTGCAGCAGGTCTTCCCAATTATCCTCGGTTCGAGTTCCAACGAGAATGCCACCCTTCACTGCGCGAACAACCCCGTTATAGGCCGCTGTGACGTTATCAAGCCCACCAAAGATCAGGATAAACTTTTCCTGTGTAGCACTCCATTCCAACCCTTTTAGCCCACTCTCCCACACGGATGGTACCGGCCCCGTTCGTTTCCTATTTGTCGTAGTGTATAACCTCATCCGACATCCTGTTCGCGAACAAATATCCCAAAAGTTGTCATGAAAGTCGTCTTCCAAGCGCTTGAAGCCGTCATCTGGAAGTCGTACCTTGACCACAAGAATGTCGTGATCAAGAATAGGAGTCTGCTTCAACAGAGTCTCGAGAATGAGACGCCAGTCTGATACCCGCTTGTGACGCTCGTCGATATGTTGTGCTGCTTTGAGAGCGGCGCGGTGCTTCGAGGCTTGTTTCTGTCGAGATCCCCAGCTTGGGTTGGTGCCTAGATAGTCGACAGTAACGGGAATCGCCCCGTGAGGTTGATATGGCAGAATCTCCAACCGGCTCACCAAGTTCTGTGCATTCTTAGTGGCGGCGGCCTTGGCGGAGGCATGAGCACTCGGGCGTGCATTGTTTGCTGGCTTCGGGGTGGTTTTGGCAAGGTTCGAGCGGCCGGCGTGGAAGAAGGCTCTCTGGTATCCGGAAAATGGGACAATCGCAGTCGAGGAGGACCAGTAGAACCGGGGAATCCGTGAGCGTTGCGACCAGGCCCTCCAAGGTTGCGTGACTCCCAGGCTCATTTGCTATGGATGTGGCATGTCGAATGGCGGAAGCATTCGGCCGGCCGGGGGTTCAATATCCGGGCCTTCCGATCTCTGTAAATGCCGCAGTCGCCGGCGTCGTCGCAGTCGCAATCGTCGTCGTCGTGGTGCCGTGGTTGCTGCTGTCTCAGCAAGCTGGAGCTTGTCACTCTTGTCAAAAAAATTCAAGAGCAACAATCCAGTCCCGCCCGCAGCCACACCGGCTGCCCCACTTCAACACAGTGACAAATAAGTTGCAAGGACACTGTGCTAGCATAATCGCTCTCTTTCAACAGAAAAAGGGGGTATTTTCATTATCAATGTTGAACTCCAGTTCTCCCATGCCGGTATTGCTATTCCCAAACGATATTACCCACGCCCATGAAACCATCATGACCTCAATTTTTGGTCTCGCCGTTTGGAGGAGCTGGCTCTGAAGGGCCGGATTTATCAACGCCTTGCCACGACGGATCCCACCCCTTTCGATGATCCACTGCTCCTGTCGAATCGCCCTCCTCAGCCATTCCCTTGACGTCGCTCCAGTACTCAAGCTTTCTTACCTCCTCATCTGCATGCTTGACTGCGTCGGCGAGATTCCTCGCCCGCCGTTGTAATTCTCCATCTGCGTCCTTGCCTTTCTTGCTTTGTGCCACCGTTTGATCATGGATCTCGGTCAATCTCGTCAGCAAGACCCTCCTCGAGGCCTGAAATACAAAGAGTGACATGATCTCATGCATCACCTTCTGTAGCCCTGCCAGGTCTTCCTGTGCATGTTCAAGGTAGTTGTCCACTGCCTCGATCTTTTCCCGGTCGATTCGGGATGTCCGCAGTACGGCCAGAAGATCGCCAACATGCTCGATGTCGTCTGGTTGTTCGACACCACCTGATTTCGTTGAGCTCATGCTAAGTCTGCTGCCTCGGAGGCTGGCAGTCCGTTTACTCATCCTGCTCAAGCTGCGTTCGCGTTCGCGTTCGCGTTCACGACTCATTTCTGACGACGGTCGAACGGAAAAGTACTCGGGATTGAGCATTTGGGGGTCCTGTGCAATGTACCCGGAATCTTTTCTGACCCGTTTCCTGATCCATGCTCGACGACGAACAAACGAGTTCCACCATCTCGCCTTGTGCCATGAAAACTTCTTAGAAAATGCAAACGAATACTCCCAGCCCTCATCGTCGACATTGTCGTCCTTGTTGATTTTCCACTCCGGCCAAGCCCACTCCCAGCTAGGATCGGGCACCTGAGCTGTGTGTATATCTGTCGGGCTGGGCTTGTGGGCGTAGTTCGTCCATGCTGTTGGGTCCAAGTTGCCCAGGGCTTTGGAGGAGAAAAGAGGTATCCCGCAGAGGAAGCCGCCTCTTTGGTTCTCGTAGAGAATCTCGATTGCCGACTCAGGCGCCTTTTTCTTGCTCACACTCTTCCTCCTTGCTGTCCCAGCGTTGACAGCGTCGACGACGTCTTCTCGTAATGGTGTAGGCTCTACAAGCTGTCAGTGTTGCTCTGCAGAAAAGATATGACAACGTGGGCGTACCATTGATGTGGATGGACGGGCGCGGGCGTTCCTCCTCGTCTGCTACACCTACTCGCGCATTGCTGGCATCACCATTCTCACGATCAGATACCCCTAGTGCTGACTCCCGTGTTGAGTCCTGCAATGACGAAGACGGCCCCGCAGTAGGAGGCCCGATGGAGTCGTCCTCGGCCTCGGACTTGTCAACGAGGTTGATCTCGTGGTCGAAGTCGCTATCTTTGGGCGGGGGCACGCGACGCGACGAGCGGTGATGTTTTATTCTCGGCATGACTACCCCTCTACCAAAAGCATGACGTACCGCCGCCTTCTTTCAGATCCCTATGTCCGCAAAAATACATTGACAAAACGAAGAACACGGGGCCGACGGCTATAGCTGGGGCGCTTTGTTGGGGTTCGTGGAGATGTTTGATGCAATGCGCTGGTGCCTTGGACAGAAGTTTGTGTTGGAGCTGGCGCGTACGTGTAGAGATCGATGAATCGACAGGGGTGTCCTCCTCAGGAAAAGGCCCCACGCAGGTGCAATTCAAGACTAAGGCATGCGATTGAGACAATGGGCATAATTAGGGGTCCCTGATGGAAACCAAACTGGAGAATTGAAGTGTGCTTGTCGAGAGAAGCGTGTGAAGCTGAACTGGAAGCTTCGCCTGCGCCATGATGTAATGTCGTTGGGTTAGCGGTGGTGCCCTGGCCAGTTTGATGCCAAGCTCCCCAGGCTGGCTCGTGCTTTTGCATCTTTATAGTGGGCTGAAGAACACTGTCTGAGAGAGTAACTGATGTATAGCTGATGGCTACAAAACATGAAATAACCCCAAAATCTGACGATGTATCAAAGGATTCAACAAGCACTGTAGAGCTGTCTACTAAAATGATATCCGCAGTGTCAACAAAGACTCTTTCCATGTCTGAAATCTGAATCTCGAATACAGTGGACCCCATCCCCAAAGCGGGGCAGCGGCAGTGGTCGTGGCCCCACCGCAACGGACCTCTCGACCGCGAACTGCCCCTCGCCTACGTCATGCATGACCCGTGAATGAAGAGCTCTCTCCAACAAGTCCCAGTTTGGTACCAGACAAAAGAGCAGAAAAACGTGCCATGAGGTGTAACCGGGAACGAATAGGGAGGTAGCAAACCAAGTAACAACTGGTGCTTGCTTCCCCCAAATGCATTGAAATACCACAACCACCCATCTTCTTTGACCTCCAACTTCCATTCATCAATCAGATTTCACACAAGACACAGCTCCCATCCCATCAAAAGCAACAACGCTCGACAGCTTCCACTTCACCAACAAAACCACATAAACTTTACAAACAACCACAATCAAAATGTCCAAGTCTCGCGCCCCCCTCGCCCTCGGTGCCCTCGCCGCCTCAGGCATTGGTTACTACCTCTACAGCGCCGGCGGCAACCCCAGAGCAGCCGAGAAGCAGTTTGAGAGTACGTCCAACCATCACTTCACCACCCACCCCATCATCTACCCCTGATACTAACTTCCCCCTCAGGCGACGCCCACCGCGCCGCCGCCAAAATCGAATCCAAGATTCCCACCAACTACCCAACCCACACAACCCACAAGGCCGAGAAAGAAGGCACCCGCCTCGGCCACGAGGTCGGCACCAAGATTGACTCTGCTGTATGTTTTACTCCCTCGTTCTCGCCCCTTTTTTCTTTCAAATCAAAAACACTAACAATCCAAAGGTAACCACCGTCAACCGCGACCTCAGCCAAGCCAAGCACGAAGCCGAGGCCATCGCCAAACAAGCCAAGGCCGATACCCTCAAGAAGATTGACGAGTTTGACCGTACGGTCGAGGAGAAGGCCGCCAAGAGCAAGAGCTACCTTAGCTCGTGGTTCGGGAGCAAGTAAAGCTCAACCTATCAACTACTTAATAATGAAAGGAGGAGGTGGGAGGTGTATGATAATGGAAGGGAGGGCGAACGGAACTGGTTTCTTTGTTTATCATCATGACATGAAGGTCGCGCCAGCGATATCTATACAACCACAACAGTCATGTTTGTGGGTTTTGATAACTGGGTGTTTTCAGGTTTTCGGGGTTTTCTAGTTTTGTTTGAATTTGATCTCAAGTTGATCGATCAATTGATATCATTATCCTATCCATACGTGCCATAATCCCGTCCCATGTCCCCAAACCAATTCAACATTACAACACTCCTCCAGGACCCTACTCCGGCAAAGAAGCAGCAACCAACTTCAACATCTCCTCCGTACCCTTCCCCGCATTCTTCGGCATCTTGGCCACCCGCTGCCAATACTCCCCATGTCTCGGCTCCGCCAAAACACACCTGCTCACCAACCCAACCCTCTTCTCTTCCGTCCCATGCTGCAGCAAAAACTTGTAATACCACGCCCACGTATCCCCATGGTCCGTGTCCAGCTTCAGCGCTCTCTCAAACCATTTATCCGCCTGCTCGAGTTTCCTCTCTTTCCAGAGGATATACGCCGCCGTCACCATCAGCACCGGGTCGTTCTCCACTTTCTTCATCGCCTCCGCCAGCAGCGATTTGCGCTGGGTTCGCTGTTCCAGGTGAAGAATCCTCTCCGCCCAGAGGAGACCGCTCTTGGGCATCTGCTGCAGGGCAGTAGCCATGAGGGTCTTGGCCTGAGTGATGTTACCAGCGCGACGCTCAAGACGGATGAGCTCAGTCCACAGCTCCGCCGATTTGGGAACTGCCTGCCTTGCTCTGTCGAGGACGGAACGGGCCTTGACCACGTTGTTGAGGCGCTCCTCCAGACGGGAGTACAAAAGCCACAAGGGGACCGACGAAGGAACGGCGCGGACACCGGCACCATATGCCTCCCTTGCCTGCGCCGGCTGGTCCATGTCCTCGTAAATCTGCCCCTTCATCATCCAAAGCTTTGGAGCATTAGGGAAGAGGCGGAGGGCGTCAATGACGAGGTCAAGGGCGGCTTCGCTGTTGCCTAGCTGGCGCTCAAAGGCCACGGAACGCATCCAGACACGATCGGTAGGGGCGTTTTGCCGGGCAGTCTTGAGCAGGTCGCGGGCTTGATCGATAAAGCCGTTGTCAGCCTCAAGCTTGACAGCCGCAAGCCAGATGTCCTCGTTATCGGGGTTTTGCTTGAAGGCACGGGCCAGAACGCGACGAGCCTCGTTAATCTCGCCTGCCTTTTCGCGGGCCAGCATGAGCCAGAAGGTCTCTTGGTGAGGGCAGGCCTCGACGGCTTTTTCAAGCGCGTTCCAGAGGTCCTCCTTGTTGCCGTGCTCTCTCTCCAGGTCAACGGCGGCGAGGTAAAGGCTCTTGCTGTTGGGGAAGACACGAAGAGCATAGGCGTATATCGCCCGGGCGGTGGCGTACTTTTCGCGGCTGATACTGGCTTTGGCATCTTCCATCCAGAGCTCCTTGCGGTCGTCGTCCTCGTCCAACCCCCAGCCGAGGGTCTCTTCGATGATATTGCTGCAGGTGATGACCGCGCCTTCTTCCTCGCACTTTTCAGCCTCAGCAATCCATTCTTCACGCTTGGGCATGGCGTTTTGCTTGGCCAAGAACTTAACGGCGTTCTTCATGACTGGTCGTCTTGCACCCTCACCAAGCTGCTCCTCCAGGCGAGCGGCCGCAATCCACAGCTCGTGGGAGTTGGTGAGCTTCTTGACGGCCTTGTTGAGCACCTTGCGAGCATTCTCCGGGGTCTCTAAATGTGCCAGTCTCAGCCACAAGTCGAGTGATTCGGGGATAAGCTCAGTGGCCTTGGCTAGCAAAATGCGGGCATCTTCCACATCTTCTTCCAGGTTCACCGCATGAATCCATAAAGCCTCGGATTGTGGGTTATGATCCAGCGCCTTTCGGATCACCTTCTTCCGTGATCTTTGGTCATTCTCCAGTTTCATGGCCGCCACCCAGAGCTTCACCGACTTTGGGTTGTTGCGGATAGCTTCAGCCGCAATAATCTTGGCATTGTGAGTGTCGTTGATGTTGATATTCTCAAGCCAGATATCCTCATTCTTGGGGCAATGCTGGCACCCAGCCGCAATCAACTTGCGGGCGGCACCCGGTTTCCCTGCTGTCATCTCCAATCTTGCCGCAGCCATCCAACTGGACGCCTGTTTGGGGTTTGAGTCTACAGCAGACTTCAACATCTTTCTGAACTGCTCAATATCACCGATACTCTGCTCTGCACCTTGGGTGCTGGCTAGTGAGGTCAAGTAACCCCTCGGATCCAGACTCGTGGCGCTACCTGCCGTAGCAAGCCCGCTGGTTTGCGATGTCTGCTCAAGTCTTGCCTTCAACACCTTGTCGCGGGCGGCACCGATCTTTGCAAAATCCGTCGTCGTTTCGGTTCCTCCGGGAATAGCGCTGGTAGCAGTCCCATCGTCCGCAACTGTCGTGCCAAACTGACCCTGGTCTCTCGCAGCAGCTAGCACGCTGTCGGGCACAGCATAGAATCTCTCCATCCTCGCTTGTCGTGCCCTCTTGGTCTTGCCGGTGGCATCCTTTGCCTCGGGTATGTTCGCCCAATCTTCGTCGGTGAGCTCGGCCAATTTTCTCTTGAGCCCGGCAAACTGCTGCTGAATCTTTGGGTTCTGTCGCTCGTATTCTTCTCGTTCGGCTTTTTCTCGTGCTTCCCTGTTCGCAAAAAGTAGACCGTTGGTATTTCGTTCTCCATTCATCTAAGGGTATAAGACGATAAACCGAGTGCTTTTGGGTGTACGTGTGGGAAGGAAAGCGCTGGGTTAGACTTGAAAAGGGGAGAGTACTAACCTTTGCTTTCTCCTCCTGTTTGCCATCTTCTCGTCTATATCTTCCCAGATCTTGTCTGCCTCTTCATCCTCCTTATCATAGAAACCGCCGGCAAACAGGCCAACCTCGTTGTCTGGATCCTGATATCGAGCGGCGTCATCGGTGTCATCATCTTTCGCATTGTCGCCGCCGAGTCCCAATTGCGCTGTCCTCTTTGCGACGGCAGCCTTGATTTGGTCTTCGCTGGGACCTTCTCGCGCCGGACCCAAGTCAGATCTGGTGGTAAAGCCAGTGGCACCACGCCCGAGACCAGCGACGTAGTTCTCGGGCGCAGGCATGCTAAGGAAGTCCCTCCGTGACATTGTGGTGGCTGTTTATCGATCGCGATGTGGATGATGATGTCGTGTTCTATGACGAATCTTTATTCATGCGCCTGCAATGGTTGGCGGTCACCGTGGCCGGGGGAGCGAATCAATGGTGGTGAACTGGTAACTTTTTGTTGCATGGATTATCAGTTGTCGCGCCAGGCACGAGCGAGCTTCGAGAAGTCAAGCAATGCTGCACGCCAAGCTTTGAAGGAAAATAAGTGGGACATGCATCTGGCTTTGTTAGGGTGAGGACTAGGGTTAGGGTTCGGTCTCTAGCCGCATCATTCAAAGTTTTGGACAACTCTTGTATAAGGTGTTGAAATCATTAACATAAATTCGTAGAATTTTGGAAACTGATAGGCTGGAACGATCCTCTATCACAAGGTCAGTTAAACCTGTCCCGTGTGAGAAAGAGTGTTCCTACAACTTCAAGATGCTGATTATGTAACCGAGGCAGCCCAGCCTTCTGTGTCCTTGTACACATAAGCCAAGATGCGAGTAAGACTCCAACTAATGCAGTTGGGCATATCCTGTTGCTATGGCTTGGCTGAGGAATCTGGATGCTGCCTAGGATTAGTCTGGGAGGCCGCGTCATAAAGCTTTGGGGCTGGCAAAAGAAGTTTACGAGGTGTAAGTGAGCTAATGGTAAGGCACTTGCTGGGCAGACTCTTGAGACTCGGCTTCCAGATCTTACTGTCAAGTTTGACACTTGGAAATACATATGAAATAGGAGCAGGAAATATACAACTCGTGGACATCATGGTCCCATGCACCAACGGCCGCCTTCGTGACTCCGAACCCGAGGAAGCCGTTTTAAAACCGCGGGGGTTGGCCCATGGTGGTTGCTGTTATACTATAGGGCTGACGGGTGCGCGCTTAGGGGGGGAGCAAAAGGGTGGGTTAGGGGTGGCTGGCAGCTGAGCGGGCATTGGACAATTGACGGGAGAACCTGGGCAAAAGACACAGCCGCAATGTCTACCAAAAAAAACAACAGCCACATGCCCCCATCTGCCCCCCCATCTGTCTCCAGTTGTCCCCGTCATAGTTAATTACCTTATTAGCGGCGCTCTCCCTAGCCGACTTGTACGGATTTACTTTTGGAAGCTCAAAACATCTCGACGTCGATTACAACTCCTCGCGCAAGCGCCCCCTACCCAAAAACTCGTTCTGTGTCGCTTGCCTGGCGGGCCTTCTTTAGCGGGGCATCGGATCGGTCAATGAGACATCACCCCGTCGCCGCATGAACCTCTGTGACGTCGGCACTCCACGAACACCACCAGAGTTGAACCTCGACCAACCTTCGGACGAAGCCGTGTAATCACCCAGACTAGCACTAGCCGACGGGCAAAGCGCACTTGAGCGCACACCATGGCAGGCATTGAGCAATTGGAAATCCACAGCAAGGTATGTCCGTTCTGCCTACTGCATTTGTCAGAGTTGCCGCTCCTCACGGACCTGACGCGCCTTGCACTAGCTATTCCATATATGCTGACAGTTTGTCTTGTATCGCGAAATAGGCCTACATTGTACGATGGGTCAAAGTAGATGTTGGCCACACCATCTCCTGGAGCGTGCAACCTCACAAGAAGTCCATGTAATACCTCAGCCCAATGATGCCCCAATTGTCAGCCTGAGCCTTATGCTGATCCAATCTTTTCACCTAGTAACTTTGGCATTGTTAAGCACCCCGGGACCGGCGAAACGAATCTGACCTCCTTGGCCGACGATGCAGGGCTTGCCGATCAACACACCGAATGCGTCGCCGAGTCGAAACCCGGTCTCTTTGCGAAAAGGGATGCTAGTACCGCCCAAGATCAGCTCGCCAAAAAGGGCTTTATACCGATACACTGGCATGGAAAATGCGAAGCAGACAAGGTCTCGGTCGGCACCTACGATGTTACACAGGCTGGCATGTTTGGCCTAGTTTTTGACAATACCTTCTCGAAGCAAACATCCAAGACGGCGACATTCGTCCTTCTAACATATCCGACCGGCGCCCCTCCTCAGACTGCACGAAATCTACCCAATCTACAGGCGGGACCTCTTGCCAGCGCGAGTAGGACGAGCTTGGGCAAGCATGGCAGCCCCCGGCTCGGTGCTGCTGCCTCGGAATCCGTCGACAGTCTACCCAGCCACACCCGAGGACGCGCATTGTCCACAGCTACCGCTGCCGGTAAGAGTGAGAGCGGCGTGTCTAGCTCCTACCATGTTGGCGTCCTGCTCAAGAGGAGGCGCAAGAAGGGGCAGGGCTACGCCAAGCGTTTCTTCTCTCTGGACTATACGACTTGTACTCTGTCTTACTATCATAACCGCAACTCCTCGGCTCTTAGGGGGGCTATTCCGCTTAGCTTGGCTGCGGTCGCAGCGGACGAGAGGAGACGCGAGATTACCATTGACTCTGGAGCTGAGGTATGGCACTTGAAAGCATCGAATGCCAAGGAATTCAGCGATTGGGCACGGGCGCTGGAACGGGCAAGCAAGATTGCTCGGGGGGTGGAATTGCCTGCCACTCAACCAGTGTCCTCGGAAAGTCAGGGGGGAGTTGCACCGGCACCTCATATCACCATTCCGAACAGCGCGCAAGACGAGGAGAGGGAGTGGAGGCAAGTTGAATCTCTGGTCAGCAGGATGGTAGGCACCAGAGATGCTCTCCGCCGCCTGGTAAAGGATATGGCTGTCGAAAAGCAGCCACTTAGCGGCCATGGATACCTTTCTCCAAGCACTCCTACACTTCCAGAGGAGACCGAGGGTTATTTCGGCCCGCCGACAACCGCATCAGCAGCAGATAAAAAGTCTTTCTGGAAGCGCAAGGCTAGCGGCGCCGCGTCTCCTCTCACCCCCCAGTCTTTCCAGACAGCTGCCAGTTCCTCGTTGACAATACCAGCATCGGGCCATAGCACCCCAACACAAAATGGGTTCAAGAAACAATATGGTGCTCTCCAGCAGGAAGGGCCAAATACTCTGGAGAATTGCACCGCGCTGTTGAGCGATCTGGATTCAGTCGTGATGGAGTTCTCGACTCTTCTCGCCACCAGCAAACGGCGACGGTTGCCTGCACAATTATCTGCTCAGCCAAGAGCAAGCATTGAGTCGTCCACTTCAACGGTCGACGAGTTCTTTGATGCTGAAGGCGGTGATGCGGATAGGTCGACAAACCAGCTGATGATCATCGAGCACCATAGTGAGGATGATACCCAGGCATCAGATGTTGAGGAATCGATCCACGAGTCCTCGTCTGTCTCTTCGATTGAAGATGAAGACGACTATGCTCAGAACGCAGAGGGTGGTGCCAACCTGTTCCCACCAAAGCCGAAATCATTGATCCCCCTTCCAATCACGGAACCAGTCACCAGACGCAAGACGATCCCGCCAGCCAAGGTAGCGCCCCCAAGTTTGATCGCGTTCGTCCGCAAGAACGTCGGCAAGGATCTTAGCACGATCAGCATGCCTGTTTCTGCCAACGAGCCGACGTCGTTGCTCCACCGCGTTTCTGAACAGCTCGAGTACGCTCAGCTTTTGGATGCGGCGGCTAAGCATCCTGACCCCAAGGACAGGTTGTTGTACATGACTGCATTTGCGATCTCTGGGTTCAGCAACACCAGGGCAAAGGAGAGGTCGATTCGCAAGCCCTTTAACCCACTCCTTGGTGAAACCTTTGAGCTTGTCCGTTCCGAGGCAGAAGTGCCTGGTGGTTTCAGGCTTCTTGTCGAGAAGGTCACTCATCGTCCTGTCCGGTTGGCTATGCAAGCTGATAGTGCGCTGTGGTCTTTCTCTCAGTTCCCGGCTCCGTCCCAGAAGTTTTGGGGTAAATCTGCCGAGATTACCACTGAAGGCCGGGTAAGGGTTAGCTTGCGTTTGCCAGACGGCACAGACGAGCACTACAGCTGGACCATTGCCACTGTTTTCTTGCGCAACGTGGTCATGGGTGAGAAGTACGTCGAGCCGGTTGGGAGCATGAACGTGAACAATGATACGACCGGGGCCAAGGCTGTCATCGAGTTTGTAGCAAAGGGTGTTTTCGGCGGCAGGGGAGAAGAGGTCAAGGTGGAGACGTACGGCCCCAACGGCAGCAAATTGGGTGCTGGGTTGGCGGGCACTTGGACCAACGGACTGAAAGTCGTGCCGGGAAACAAGGAAATCTGGAAGCCGGGGCAGTTGGTCGAGAATGCGGTGAATACCTATGGTATGACTACCTTTGCCGCCAGTCTGAACGAGATCACGCCGATTGAAAAGGGGAAGCTGCCGCCTACGGATACGAGGTTGAGGCCTGATCAGAGGTTTGCGGAGCAAGGGGATTTGGACCAGGCGGAGGAGTGGAAGGTGAAGCTGGAGGAGGCGCAGAGGGTGAGGAGACGGGTGTTGGAGGAGAGTGGGGAGGAGTATAAGCCCAAGTGGTTCGTCAAGGTTGCCGGGGGGGAGGGCCAAGCGGGGGAGGAGGTGTGGAAGTTGAAGGGAGGGAAGGACGGGTATTGGGAGGAGAGGGCTAGGGGGAAGTGGGAGGGGGTGGTGGATATTTTTGCTGGGTAGTTTTTTTTTTCTTTGAGGAGACAAACTGAAGTGGGTTTTGGATGATGGGGATACCGAATAGACTTTTGGGTGGGGTTTTTGTGGTAGGATTTCTCTCTTCTCTGTACTCTTAGCAGGCAGGTGTTTATGTGTCAATTCAAGGAAGTATTGAATGTTCAAAACCAAGTCCGCGCAGCGTGGAGGAACAGGTTTCTTTTGGGGGTTAGGGTTGTAGGTAGCTCCTGGATCTATCGCCATTCGCATTTTCAGCACCTCGCAAAGCTAGAATCATGGATTGCTCATAAGGTATGACGGTTAGCACATTTATGACTGTCTCCGATGGAAAAGTTGGTTTTGGGATCTAGTACGTCCATACAAGGAATTTTGTCGGTGTTGGTTGTATCTAAGTATAGTTGGTCCTACGTGGACAATTGAATACCTACCTTTCCAGGTTGTAGCCGTCCTCACCTTCAAAGATTCAATCATAGCAAACATTAGCCTTTTAACATGATCAAGTTTTGTTTTGATATCCGTCTCGGCGAAATCGATATCCTCTCAAAATCCGGTATGAGAATACATCTTGGCTACCTACATCTCCCCTCATTGGCGAACCCGAACCCCCTCAGTTAGGTAGCTCCTCTTTTCCCATCCGGCCACTCACCCCTCAAGTAAATAATTCCGCGGCCTCGTGATTCGATCCTCCCCCCCATCCATCCACCATACCTATTGACCCTCAAACTTCCCATGTCTGTCTGTCTGGGTGGTAGTCTGGCACGTGGCCAGTCTCTCATGTAAGGCAAGTGCATGGTACTTCATCACATCACATTCCCTTCTCCCACCCCCCCCCCACACACACATACAATGTACAACCCACGACACTCTCCTAAACTCAACAACGAAAAAGCATGGGGGTTAGTCTTACTTTCTTTTCTTTTTCTTTCCTTACTGACGACATGAGGCTATAAAGAATCCTTTGTGTGTGGGGGTTGCCATGCAGAAGGGATGTTGATATGCATGGGCTCTGGAATAGGTAGAGAGTCGACAAGCTTTGTTGATGTTGGTTGTTTCCTGCTCTGCTACCTACTGACGGGAGTTATAATACAGATACCACGTATATAACCCACATTGTATCCCACCACTTCTTATCTTTTGCCCACCTCGAGAGAGCACGCCTATACGAGCGAGCCACCCCCACCCCGCGGTCTTTCTCACGTTGTCACATGTTCGCTATGTGTATGTTGAATGGCTCCATTCAAAGATCGAGTGTAAATTCTTCCACAAATGTTGAAGCGTGGGAAATGTATACAGGATAGTTGGCGATGAAATCAACGTCGAGTTATCCCAGAGGTGGTGGTGTAAGTCAGTAGTCAAAAGAAAATGGACGATTCAAAGCACCCATTTCCTTCCTTTCAAACTTTTGTGTGCTCCTTGGGCTTGGGGGGCTGTTCCAAAATTCCATTTCCCCTTTTCGGCCGGACCCATCTCTGAGCTCGTGTTGTATGGCCAGCCAAGTAGCGTAAAGCCGGGCAATGGTTGCACCAGCCCTCACAAGGCTCCTGACCCTAGTTCGTCCACTGATCTGATCTTAACGGCTCGGTATATTATATTGAAAGCAAAATGCAGCTCTCCACCCCCATCTGTACCCCTCAGATGCTTCTCGACGAGGCCTCATATCGTCCCCTCAAGTCATCAATAGCTTCGTTTGAGATGCACACACCTCTCCGCATCCTGCATTAGACGACCGATCTTGCCATTTTTCAACCCGAGGGGAATGTACAACAGCAGTCCGAGACAGGATTAACTGTGGGGGCCCTTCATTCTTGGTCATAGATGGCGGGAGCAGTCCGAGGAACGCGCGCAGAAAATCGCACTTTGCTCGCTTGTGGACAATGGCTCCATGCAAATACTGCATCTCACGAGGGGGCCGCAGACGCAGGAAGCCATCCAGATGCTCTGCAACCATAACAAATATGGCTCAACGTGCCAGAGCCTAACAAGTCGGGCAACGGCACCCCTCCAACCCGCATGCTGAAATTGGGGTCGTCTCGCACAATGGAACGGCGGGTTCTGTCTCCATGCACATTCCTTCAGAGCCTCGTCTACCATGTGGTCGTCCAGCTGAGATGTGCTTCTCAGGTAGGTATATGATGGAGAAGGATGGCGAGTGGCACAAAAGCTGTCGAACCTTTCTGTATATAAACATATTACTTGATGATTAGCTGAAGCCGGGACGTGATCCTTGCCCTCATCCCGTCCCCTTTCCGTTTCCCCCCTTTTCCTATTTCACTGCACTTCACTCCAGCACCCTCAGATGGGCAATAGAAACGCATCCAGTGCAGATTTGTTGCACCTGCAACCACATTCACATGCAGGCGACGTGTCTCTGCATCTAAATTGCATCCATGATACCAGTTTGAAACCTTTTGGGCCAATTGAGTGCTTGCTCAGGGATGATCCGCGTAATGTCTGTCAATCTCCAACTATCGAGCGAAGTGGAAACCTGAGCCAAGTTGATGATACAATGCAGGTTCAACTTTTTTCCAGCGGCTATCCTGGTTGGTCTCCGAAGATGATGTCGAGTCTGTGCTGCCGGCACGTAGAAATGGACTCGGCGACTTGCTAGGGTAGCTCCAGGTGAACTCCTTGCCTTTTCCTTTCTCCTGGAAGGGTATTATCCCCGAGTCAGAGACGTCACTGTGCCCTTCCATGATGTGTTGAACAGGTGGTACGCTCAGAGAGGGCCGATAGTCGGAATAGGACAATGTCCCATCCAGGTGAATAGAAGGGTCCCAAGAGACAAACACCAGGGCATTGAGGCCTCCGGGGGAATCTCCACCTGTGGAATAGACCAAGGAGCGTTCATCCCATGCCCCTCGAATGTTGCCGGTAAAGCCATCCGGATTCAGTACGGCGTACAAATCGAGGAGCACAGGATCTGGATTGGAAATGTCTGGCTCGGCAGGCCAGGAAACAACATCTTTGTGCCTGTAAAGATCATTTACTTCCTGGTCAAGTGCATCTTGGGCGCTGTAGTCTTGTGCTACGGGCGAAATTTGCCGTTCGTCCCGCTGCCCCAGGCTAGAGGTACCCCTGGGCCGTCGTGAACTGCCTCGGAAGCGGATTCGTTGATCATTAGGATCCGTGGAGGTGGGGTCGTCCACCACGTCCAAAAATGTTTGACATGCTGAATAATAGCAGCGAATAGGGCTCTTGCTGATCGCGAACATCAGAGACGAGGCGTTGTCGTCCCCCGGATGTACAAAATGGGGATCTCGTGATGGTGGTGCCGTGTACTCGGTGTGCTGCAGTTTGGGATTCATGGTCTCCGGTAATGCTGCACTAGGGCTCCCAGATGATGAGGCTCGGCCATTTGTTGCTCGAGCGACGTCGGAAGTGGCCTCGTCGAAGTTTACCACAGTGGTGTAGTAAGTGCGTCTAGGCCAGATGCGCCCTGCAAGCCACTCTTTCCTAGACTCAACCACCTTGAGCTGGCCTGTTGACTCGTCCTTGAACATGCGAAGGAGGTACCACCTGTCATCGATCACACCCTCATGTTGATTCCTTCTAAAGATTGGTGGGTTCGGTGACTCCCATTTTTGAAGGCCCTCTCTTGTGACCGGGAACCTGAAGCAGGTATAATGTGAGATCCAATCAACCTCTTCCACCTCCAGAGCGGCTTGGTTTGAGATGCCGTAGAACCAGCCATCAAAGATCTCAAAACAAACTGTCGAGCCCACATCCACACCCATGACATCCTGTATCTCGAGTTTGTCACTCAGCCATCTGCGAGCACTCAAGTCGAAACCCCAGACGACCCAGTACCGGTACAGGTCCCTGCCGATCTCGGAATTGGTGCCATAGTAAAGAAAGTTGTTGTCGTTGCGTACGAAAATCTTGGTAGTCGATGCGACTTGGCGGACGGTAACCACCTGGCCAGTACACACGTTGAAGGCCAGAAGCCAGCTGACTTGCTCTTGGTTTGGCTTGGCGTGTGTGTACAAGCAAGAAACAATATCGTGGGCGTAGTGCAGTACCCGGACCTTGTACCTGCGGGTCATTCTAGACTCGGGAAGGGCCACGTGGAGAAGGGAGCGGATATTGATGACGGTCTCCTGTGTTGCTGAACCGTGAAGATCCAGGATCCGAATCTCACGCTTGCGAATATAGCACAGTATGCCATTCTCGTAAAGCCATGTTTCCGCGTGGGCGACGACTCTCACAAGATAGGGAGACACGGACGAAGTGGCAGCTTGGCGCTTGATCAGCCTCCGCAGCTGTTGGGGCCAACGCTGAGTGAGTCTTGCGCTGCTTGCCTCCAAGCTGTAGGGGGCCTTTGTCTACGCCACCGTCAGCGTCATCTTTTCCGTGTTTTTTCTCCAATCACGACAATACAAGTACTCACCTCAAGGATTCGCTTGGCAATGCAGTATTCCAGGGTCAAATACTGCATCCGCTTGCAGGTGAGACTGAGATTGCCGACGTCGAGCAAATCCAGATACTCAATAATAAATGAGACCAGCTCGTATGGAAGCTTGACCAGCGACATCACCTTGGACCTTGATGTGGAAGATTGCCGTCAACCATCGAAAAAGCTCCATGGACCGGAGACAGTGGTGGTGAGGACAGACAGGTCCGGAAGACGAGACGTGGCAGAGAGCAACCAGGAAGGAGTGAAGGTGCGGATCTTGGGATTCAAAGCATTGTGACTGCTGCTGAGTGTCAGAACCAAAGGCAAGAACTGGGCAGTCGCTTCCATTTATAAGGGAGACCTGCCCTTAAGAAACCAGGAACGGAAAGTAGGTACCTCGATAGGTGAGGTAAGTATGTACCTACTTACCTTTGCTTCTCAGCCCAGGCGAGGCTGGGAAACACCGTCTGCCATTAGCTGGAGCTCTTGCAGTTGGAGCACACAGGCCCCCCGCTCACTCAACGAGACTGCATGGATATCCACTTCCGGAAAATCTTCTTGGGTTGTCGTCTTGCAGTTTATTCGCTGAGTAAAAGGTGCAAATTTCAAGTTCCCATCAATAACGAGTCTCGAAGTGAAGATCCCCTGAGGGAGATGGAGGTGGTTTCGGAATGTGGAATGGCAAGAGACACCGCACTCGGCAGAGGGCACCCACCCTTGTTGATGCGTGATGCGGCTCTGCTCATGCCCTGAGCCACGGATCAACCACAAACACCTAGTCTGGCTGGAAGCGGCGCTATCGCTCTTGATGCCACATGCCCCCCTTCCCATCCATGTATACCCCCGAAGGACCTAGGTTGCATCCCAAACCCCTGTCTAGCCGCCCATGATACCAGCCAAAATATGACCACCATTGTGAGTGGCACATTGATACCTAGGTACTTAACAGAGCCGCATCCTCTCTGTTTGTCTCGCTAATTTCTTAATGTTTTTGTGACATCAACCTCCTTGTTTGGTGCTCCCTCCAGAGTTGCAAAGATTGGCCAATTAAAAATGGCGGAGCTGACCTTTAATGTGGGGTACATTCAGTTGAGCCTCCTTTTTCAAGATTCTGACTGGCCCCCCCACAATCATGCTCCGTTAAGCTTCAGTCTTCTGAACTTCAACGCTTCAACATCACAACATTTACAACAGAACCCCCACCAACTACCGATAACACAGTGTGTTTCCTCCGTATCCGTTCCTCAATACCAAGGACCATTGTTTGCCCAGACTATTTATCACATTTCTTGCGTTGGATCGTCATGTTGGCGGTATACATATACCTGCAAGCTTACCTACTTAGGTACAAGCCAAGCGTGATGAGGCTCTGCTCTCACATTTCAAATTCTTGGTGCCGTCCATTGAGAAACCGTTTCAACAACCTTCCTTTTGTGCGTCATGGGCTTTGATTCGTCGGTTAAAGGTTGATGCAAGCTCTTTTACCCCGCTTACTTTACTGTCCTTGTGAGCATTAATTCTTGCTCAAAACTGGGCGCTGTCTTACCTCCCCTCCTGATGAGGCTCTGCTGTAGGCCCTTTACACTAGCTTCCATCCGGACTGGCACATGAAGTTTCAGTCCCGTGCCTCCTCCAAATCCCACCTCTCTCCCCCTCTCAGGATGTCAATACCCATATGATATTTCATTTCAGGGTGATATTAGACCCTGTCACTGAGACTATCAGCGCCTCTTTACATACCTCTAAAATATGCATAGGTATCTCAGGAGGCCCTCGCGGCAAGGTGTGCCAGGCTACAATCAAGCCGCCACAAGCAAGCTGAAGATCAAAGATCGTAAGGAATTCAACATGTCTTTGCGGCATTCCACAGTTCTAACTTGTCAAGTGTGACAATCTCAACAATTTTCTTATTGACAGCCTTGCCGCCGCCACACCAGCGCTATACCGTGAACACCATTCAGCGCCGACATGATATCGTGCGACAATACGCTCTGCTATCACCCTGTTGGCTCCGGGTAGCGGCGAACCTAAAAACACAGAACTTTGGCTCCGCTCCGATGGCACTACGGTCCGGTTTCCTCGGCAAGAGCCTCAGTCCACGGTACATCCTGAGGGACATGCATTCTTTACCAGACTTGGAATCTCGGCGAGCAGTCTTATCTTGTTTGAGCCTCCGTACATGCGACTTGGGAATAGGGAATTCGGAGTCTGAGAGAGCAGACGACCGAAATCAGCACATTGTCGTGTGACCCTTCCCGTCGACCGGACGTGCGATCCCGTTTGAGCATGCGGTCAGGCAAATACCTGCCTGTTTGAAGAAGGAGAGAGTTCAAACTCCGTGGGAACACGAGAATCCGGATGCCGAGGTATCGAAAAGCTCGCGATTACGTCAAGGAGAACATTGCCGGACCAAGGATGGAAAAGGACAGTTTGGCTACTTCCGTTTCTGTCACCGGGCTAGGTCAAATTACAGAACGTGGGCGAGACTTCAATGGGTGTGTCATTGATCGATGCCGTCAAGGGCTACCCACGTTCGCGTATCAACGCCACATCTCCTCAAGTATGGGATGGAATTATGCCGCATCTTTGCATCGATGGCTGCAAGGACGTGGTTTGATCATCTCGGGAGGATGTCCTGTTACGCGTGCAAAGTTTGTCAGGTGACGATTGAAGGGGGCTGTGTAGGTATGTCAGATTCTATGTGCCTGGGGCTGGACGTGAGGGGTGCTTGGGACTGGCACTTGAACAAACCGCAGCTCGAAGACATCATGATCAAACTCTCCAAAATTTTCACATCGAAACTTGCGCCTTTACTAAACTTGGTGTTTGCCCAACAAACTACAGCGAAGACACCATCTCTGTTGCTCCTTGCCCTTGGCCCGGCAAAGCAGATGGCCTGGCACCAATCATGGGTGGTGCGGGAAAATCTAATGAGTTTTCCTCCCTCTTGATCTGCCGTTTCATCCGTCTTCTCTCAATAAGGTAGGCCCGGCTATCTGCGGTACCTTATATTTGATAAATTCGTGACACTGTCACGTCGCACAAAGAGGCCCTGCAGCCTTGGCCTGGCCATTATTGAGCCTCAGGGTTGACTGATAGCCACATTCTAACAATCGAGGGTTAACAATGAGATACTGTATTTCATAGCGGTTTGGCGCGGGTTAATCACCAAGACGCACGCTGCACCGATTCTCGAACCTGTGCAAGCTGCCCTCTTTGCCGCGAGTTCTGCATCGTTTGCGAAGAACTCTAGACATCCATGAAGCTGCGTTGCTATGCAGTATACCACCAACCACACCCTCAGCCTTCTGTGTGCGGGGCCAGCATTTGCCCCTTTTTTTACCCCTTTTTCTATCCAATGCTACACGTCCATCTCTGCAGCAACAAAACTGTGGAGATCACCCAAAGGTCTGATTAAGCAGCCGCTCACAACCATCACCTGAGGTAGGGCAAAAAAAATTAATAGCGGATAAGTCATGTACATGAGATGAGGAATATGGATTAGTAACAAAGTAGCAACGAACCGCATTGTCGCTGTTGTTCTTTTTTTTTTTTTCGGTCGTCAAGTCCGGGAATATGACTTGCTCGATATCAATGAAGAGGGGGGATGTGGGGTCGGGAAGCTATGACAGCATCAGCTTGGATGATAGCTCACTTATCAACGTTTCACTTACATACATCAAACGTGCTGGAAAGACACCGAGGCTGCCTCATCACTTTTATTCAAGCTGCGCTGCTTGCTTGTAGCGTTGCGACATTCTTTTACAGTCAACAAACAACATCAACGCCATCAAAATGGTTCACCAACCACCCCCTCTTCCACTAGGTTCAGACGGCGAGGTCGACCTCCGCGCCCCCCTGACATCAGATACCATCCTCCAAGTCCGCACCGGCCGAATGGCTCCTCTCGCTCCCTTGAGCATAAAATCCGGCATCAACAAAACTTTGAGGTCTGGACCTGTTCAAATCACAAAGTTGGGGTTGGAAGGTGACGAGCAAGATCCTACGTTTCATGGGGGTGTTGATAAGGCTGTTCACGGGTGTATGTCCCCTTTTTATTTCTCGACAAAAATGTACCTAAACAGTGGCTGATAAGACGAACTACAGACTGCGCAGACCACTACAAGTCCTGGCAAAAGGAATTCCCCCAAGCCGCCGAGAGGTTCGTCCCCGGGGGGTTCGGGGAGAATCTTGTTCTTGGCTTCATGAACGAGAGGAATGTTTGCATAGGCGACATCTTTGAGATATCAGACTCAAATGCCGTGTTGCAGATTTCACTTCCAAGACAGCCTTGGTAGGTACCATTTACCCCTTAATCCACCAACCACACAAAACCCCTTCTTGCTTTTTAACAGTAGTGTTATATATATAAAGCTTCAAACTCAACCACCGCTTCCACCTCCCCAACTTCGCACCCAACACCTACCGCCTCTCCCGGACGGGGTACTACTTCCGCGTTCTCACTCCCGGGCTCGTCGAAGCAGGGAATAAACTGACTTTGGTCTCCCGCCCCCACCCCGACTGGACTATTGAGCGCATCCAGCGGTACCTCCATAAGGAAACAGACAACTATGACATGAACCTCGAGCTTTCTCAAATAGAAGAGTTTGGGGCCGAGTGCAAAGACAACTTCACCCGGCGAGTCCTACGAGCGAGGGCAAAAGCCAATAAAAAACCAAAGGAGAAGTGGGTGCCCTACCAGGTGGTAGAAAGAAAGGAGCAAACGAAGAGGATAACTTCCTTTGTCCTCGAAGCGGTTGACAAATTTGCGGAAGGGGAAGAGAAGGAGCTCAGCCCAGGTGCTCACGCAAAGATCAAACTGGGAAAGGGCCTCGTCAGGGCGTATTCCATCGTCGACGGTGACAAAGAGCGGTTCCAGTTGGCTGTTGCCCTTGAGGAAAAGAGCCGCGGTGGGAGCAAGTACCTCCATCACGAGGTCAAAGTAGGGGATGTGCTACAAGTGGGGGCTATCACGGCTGCGGTGCCGACTGTTTCGGCGGCTAGTCACCATGTTTTTGTCGCGGGTGGCGTGGGTGTTACGGCGTTTTTGGCAATGGTATGTATGTCTTGGAAATGCAGCTTTAGGTCCCAACCAACCAGGCTGACAAAGATTTTCTACAAGGTCGAGTTCTACAAGAGTATACACTACAGCGTTGTCCTGCATTACGCCGTCCGATCTGCAGATGATGTGCCGTTTCGAGACCGGATCGAGGAGCTGAAGAAGGAAGGACAGCTGGTGCTCTACGACAAGGCTGCCGGGCAGAGGATGGATATACGGCAGATCATCCAGAGTAGGGGTTGGAACTCGCAGCTGTATTTCTGCGGGCCAAAGAGATTGATGGATCAGGCCGAGAGGGAGGTCAAAGAACTTGGTGTTTATCAAAAGGAGGTGCACTACGAAGCCTTCGAGGCAGACCTGAGCGGGGATCCCTTTGAGGCTGTCGTGGCGAACAAGGGCGGGGTGGTTGTCAAGGTCGGGGAAGACGAAACCCTGCTCGAGGTCCTGCAGAAGCAGTTTGACCAGCCCGACTCGAGCTGCTGTGTGGGGAACTGCAAGACTTGTCTGGTTGAGCTCAAGGCTGGCCGGGTTGATCACCGCGGGACGGCTCTGACGGATGACGAGAAGGTCACATCAATGTTGTCGTGCGTCAGCCGTGGGGTTGGGCGTATTACCATTGAGATCTGATGGATCGGCCGGGTGGCTTCGTCAGGATAGCCGGCTGCATGTTCCGGTCTGCGTCAGCTGATGCTGTGTTGAGCATGCGACGGCCGTTCAAAGGTGGGTAAAGATATCACCCATTGCACGCTAGAAATGTTGAAGAACTGCACTTGTGATCACTCATCCCGTACTTCTCCCCGAGTCCTGCTACATAACCCCGCTTGTTGATGCCGGTAGTTCTTCATCATCGGGTCTTTGTCTTTTGGGCGCCTCATCAGGCCTCGCCCCAAGCCAAAAAGAGACAACCGCTCCTGCCGCAGCCCACACACCACAATACCATGTGGTGGTTCCCCAACCTGGTCCTGCTTGGATGTACCCAGCTGTGATGCTGCCAATCGTCCCACCGAGAGCGTATGCAGTGGTGAACAGACCATAGGCGATACCATAGACCCCCTTTTCACCCCACACTCCCGGCTGTTGAGCCTCACGCTCATCGATAGCGTAGGTTATTTCTGCCATGAGGGGTGTGTTGGCCAAGGTAACAAGTGTAACGCCCAACAACGTCAAAAGTGCACAAAGCAAGACCTTGTGCTCTATCGTGTTACGCGTCACAAATCGAAGGCAGACCAACGGCGGGATAGAGAGGGCAAACCCGGCGACTGAAAACCACTTGGCGCCATGCTTGTCGGCGAGCTTACCAACAATCGGAGATACAAAACCGGGGACCATGACACAGATGAAGATCAGGCCGGCTGCCGTCGAGTTCCATTCGAATGTTTGTTTAACGTAGAGCGGAATCACAGTATCAAACGCGAACCTGTCAGAGAAATCAGCACTCGCAAGGCTATTGGCAAATGACCGGCCTATCGGACCCGATCCGGAGCAAAAAGGACAAGTTCTCACACGATACACGCTTCAATCGCTATACCAACCAAGGCAGCTAACATGCGACGATTCTTGATTAGCTCCCAATGGGGGTGTTTTGCAGGATTCAGGACCGGCGTCGACAATGCTGCAATCGGGTCACCGGAACTGGTTCCGGCTCGGGTCGGTGAGGGTGGCAAGGCTGGGTCGGCTCCTGCCTGGCTTGTTGCTTGGACCTGCTTTTCCACATCTTCCCTGTTATTGGTAATTGTAGTTGCACTTTCAGCTTCCGAAGACTCAGGTCCTACGACCCATTGTTGAGCAACTCTCTTCTCGACCAACACCAGGCGGAGAGCGATATCGCAGGCTACAACTGCAAAGGCGATATAGAACACAGCATAGTAGCCAGCTGCTTCGTATACCGCCCCACCAATAACCGGTGAGATCAGCAAGCCTACCGACATGGCAATCGTGACATATCCCATGGCATAACCGATGTCTCTCCCGACCGTGTCGACCAACAATGCCAGCCCAACCGACCAAACGATGGCGGCACTCAGTCCTTGGAGCAGCCTCCCCACCACAAGCAGGGCAATCGTCTTGCTCAGACACAACAATAGGGTAGACCCGCAGAGCGCCACCAGCCCAAGAAGCAGCGGCCATCTACGCGATGAGGAATGGTCGGCGTAAAACCCGACAATCGGGGCACCCAGGAAAAGAGTGACGTTGTAACAGGCGAGCAGGATGGCGGTCCATTCTTGCACTTTGTTTTCTGCCAACCCGATCTGTTCCAAGAGGCTGAATGGGAAAACGGGCACGATTAGGCCGTAGAACAGAATGTCGGTGAAAATAGCCAAACAGACGGTGAGGAGGATAAAGAAGGTGGAGGAACGGAACTCGAGGAAAGGCGGTGGTGGTTGTTCAACATTTTTGCGGCGGGTGCCGGGGAAGTTGATAAATGATAGTAGACGTGACCGCTTGGGTGTGGTAGCACCAGCTGAGACACTATCCAAGCCAGTCATTCTCCTGTGACGGTAACTCTTAGTAAATCTCATCAACTCGGCGTACGTTAATTGGAACTTAAGGTCAAGGTATATATGTAACCACTCATGAAAAATCAACGAAGCATCCTGGGAGCTGAACGCCGCTTCTCAAAAAACAAGCAGATTTATAGTCAAAAAGTCATTGACGAAAATGGCGGAAAGCGGCATTGTAGAGCTGGTCATGATGTGACCGAATCGCCAGCAGCAAAAGACCAATCATTCATACAAATCGGAAACATGAGCTCAAAGCACTTGCCCCAATTCATCGTCACTACCGCCGCTCCGATAAGCTCAGCTCTTATCGCCTATCGCAGGCCAACCAATAGACTAACATGGATAACGCCGCAAATGCCAAAGTGGGTCACAAAAGTTTCTCGACCTTCAATCAACCACTCAACCCATCGCGACCATCTCCCACACGCGTTCACCAGCCAAATTCATCCCTACATCCCACAAAATGCCTTCAACGCCCCCCACATTAGGGGACTTCACCGTCCTCCCCATCTCCATCCCACCATTACCCTCCTTCCCCAAACCAACAACCCACTACCTCTACCTCCGCCGCAACACCCCCAAGATTCCCACCCCAACCGACTCCCGCTCCCTCTTCCTCACCAACTGCCCAGTCGACAGCACCGACATCCACCTCCGCTCCCTCTTTGCATCACTAGTGGGACCCGGCCGCTTCGAATCCGCCACCTTTGAAGACGAGCGCAAAGACACCGCCCACAAGCTCTCCCCACTGGACGCCGCCGTCCCAGTCAACGCCGTCCACCTCCTCCGAGCGCACGGTAGCACCAAGAAGCGAAAACGCGAGGAAGAAGAGGACGCGGAAAGAAGCAAGGAAGACGAGGCCGCCAGGCTCCCCTCGACGTGGACCCGCCCGCTACGAAGGTCAGGCAGCACAGCGGTGGTATTACTAGCAGACGAGAAATCCGTCGAGCAAGTCCTCAAAGCATGTGCCAAGGCTTCCAAGACGAAGAAGTACCCCGAATGGGGCGCTGGTGTCGCTGATAAAGTCCCTGCGTTGGGATCAGTCTGGGTCAAGCAACATAACCGGCTCTGCTACCCCGACCCTGCCACCCTTCAACAAGCGGTCGACGCTTTCTCTGCTGTTTTTGCCAGAAGGGAGAAGGAAGCCGCCGAGATTTCCAAGAGATTGCGCAACGAGCCGGATGAGGATGGTTTCGTTACTGTAACGAGAGGGGGCAGGAACGCACCGGCGAGCAGGTCCGAGGCGGAGGAGGCAAGGAAGAAGATGATTGAGCGGGCGGAGAAGAAGAGGCAGGAGATGGAGGGATTGTACAGATTCCAGCTGAGGGAGAAGCAAAAGGAGGAGCAGGAGGAGTTGCTGATGAGGTTTGAGGATGACAGGAAGAAGCTGGAGGCGATGAGGATGAAGAGGGGCAAGTTTGTGCCTGAGGCGTGAGGAAGGGTTGGAAGCACTGGAAGACAAAAATGAGATACCCCAATGGAAAGCGTCAAGGAAGTTCGAAATGAGAAGTGATATTGCGAATGGTGAGTTCATTTTCTCTGCCTCTTTTCTTCTTATCACGCCACAAGACTATGATGACGCACGCGGGGCCATCAGATTATCCATTGTCCTTTGGCGTTTTCACACCCATCGAGGCGAAGGATGTATGCTGTACAAAAACCGCGTTACAATAATCTTCTCAAACATTCTGAAGTCTTTACCTACTACTCTCTTACCTCGTTGAGCGCAAAATCTGGAAGGGGTTGCAGTTTCGACTAACATTGTCAATTTTACTAGAGACCTAATCAAGTCAGGACGGAGAGTGACCATCACAACTAGATATCGATGTTCAAGGACTAGAGAAGGTTAGGTCATCTTGACATAGCCTTAGTTTGCTGGGCTGCCCTTCTACAATGTAGCAGCTGCAAAGGTGCAATGCCAACAGTATTGTCGTATGAGAACGAGAGTTTGAGGAAGTTTAAAGATTATCCATCCTTGGACTCGTGATGATTATGAGTGATGTGGGATTAGCACTATTGAAAGCTAGTGCCTTGTGGCTACATGAAGTTCGGCAGTTATCCTACCAGCGGGCTCTTGATGTTTGATATTCCTAGAATGCCAGAAGACCATCGGCGATATCCGCCAGGATCAACAGTTAGCGGCTCCATATTTTGGATTCTTGGACCTGCGTCATAGGAATACACATTGTTGATTTGACGTCACAAGGTAACTTCAACTTCGTGATGGATACTCATTAAACATACGAAGACAAAAAGGGTTCTATTTTGCCCTTTGTAAAGGCATCTGTCTGTCTATTCATCGCAGAACCATTCTTTACAATACACGAAAAGATTTCGCCTTCTCGACTTGCAAACGCCGCCATTTTCCCCCTCTTTAGAAGAGAAACACACAGAATGCAACCCCGCCCAGTGTCCTCGCTGATAAACAGCCCGTATGAAAAACCCAAAACGCTAAAAAGGAATCTCATGAAGCTCATCTATCGCTCTGCAAAACCCCACCCATATGTCTTGAAATCATCATCTCTAGCCCAACCAGCAAGCTAGCCGGTGAAAATGAGGATGGTTCATTATCCTCCCTTCCATGCCCCATGTTATCCCAGGACTCGGCGTTTATATCCCGCCCAGTCCCGACCCATCGAGGCAGGACCCTCTAGAAGTAAAGTTATCCGGACATGAGTCCCTTCACTTCTTCTCCTTCTTCTCAAACTTTGGCTTGCCGATATCGCTCCCTCTGAGTTTGACGTTGAGGACGCGCTCCATATTGGAAAGGACCTTCTGGTCTGGGGTGGCGTCACCGCGCTCGAAGGAGGCGACGATGGTGGGGGTAGTGTTGCACTTGGTGGCGAGATCCTTCTGGGTCATGCCCTTGGTGCCGTTGGGGTTGGCGAATTCGGAGCGGGCTTTTTGGATAGCCTGGCCGACTTCCTTGCCGACGGTCTTGGGCTTGACGATATCGTCGGCGCGGTCGACCATGGTGAGGCGCTGGCCTTCTACACCGGGCTTGGAGGCCTGGGGATGGAAATGTTAGTTATTGATGACTACGCGGTTGTTAAAAGACGCAGAACATACAGCGTTGCCAGCCCCGAACTTCTTCTCGGTCGCGATGGCGGCACCGCTACGGCGAGCAGCGTTGAGGGCTGATTGACCGCGGACAACAGTCTCACGGGGTCCGCCGGCGCCGCTGCGGACATTCTTTCCAATCTTGACTGTATCGGTATCCCAGGCAGACATCTTGACGGTTTGTGTGGGTTGTTTTTGTGGTTGGGGACGAGAAGATGGATGAGTTGCTGAGAAGGCGAGCTGAGTGTTATCAAGCTGGCGAGATGTTTGTTTGCTGTGGTGGAAGGTGATGTCTGGTGTAAAAAAAACTTCCAGAAAGAAGTGGATGCAAAGACAAAGGTTGTTGGTTTGTCCCGGATGGTTGCAGCGAGACGGTAAGGCGGGGATTTAAAGAGGTGGCTTCCTGGTCGGCGCGGAAGGTGATGGGCGGCCGTCGAACCGCAGTGACTCGAGCGGCGAGAGTGGTCCGCACCCAGCAGCCCCGCGCCACAGGGAGGCTGTGGGCCCGACCAGCCCAGGCACGCAGGGATCCACCGGCCCGACAACTGGTGGAGGGCATGCCCGTTTGGGGATTCTGCAACTTCAACACCACCACTCGGCCGCGATATCCATATTGCCTTCCGTCCCTGACATAATTCTTACTTTGGTCTGAATTTGGTCCTTTGATATTCTAGGGGACCTGTGGCGGTTCTAGGTTTCAAGGGGCACCTACCAAACGACGCTTTGGCCTGCATCCTCCACCAACGCCATGTGGCGGCCAAGGCTGACAAAGCTCCAGGTCTTTTGACCATAGACAGCCCAGATGGCAACTGGTGCCGATTTTACTTTAGTCACGGAGATACCCAATGCTTCAGGACCTGCCTTCACTATAACTGTTCCCCCAATTTCCGATAGGTTGGTCTGGTCTGATTCCAACACTCCGGGATTTGGACAACGCCGATCTTGGCAAACCTGTTCGCATATCTTGCTGATGCAGGCTCCCGAATGGCCAGCTAGGGTCGCCGGAGTTACTTGAGAACACCTGCGTCCGATATCAGTTGCTTCGCATCCTAAAAAGCAGTACTGGTAGAACAAAACCTGCCGGGTGCCTCGCCGAGCAACACTCCTGAGGATATGCTCGTTGACTGCGAAGGAGTTGTGCCAAGCAAAACCTCGTTTTTGGTGGTTGAAGCAAACTGGCCGCTCTTCGCGGTCTCCATATCCATCCGAGATAATTACCATCATGCAATGAGCACGCTGAGGAGGTACCTGGTGGCACAGACCTCAAGCTTGTTTTCAGGCATGAGTAATGGCCGTCGACTCCACGTTTCATGGTCAGATAGGGTTGGATGAACCATGGCAGCTTACTCACAGCACCATACTGACACTAGGGAATGATTCCTCGTCTCGATATTCACCTATGGTTTGTTGAAAGATGAACAAATTCGGAGTATTGTTATTCAAACGAAACATGTACCGTAAAACAAACTGATGAGGGGGTCTCCGGAGTTCAATCGGGGTTGTCGGACACCTTTAACCAAACAGACAGTGACACAGATATATGTCTATGTCAATGCTGGAATTCTACTATCTCGGTCCCGCGCTGGCGGATCCGAGTAACAGTAACTTAACATCCCAATAAATAGGTCAATTCCAAATACCCCGTTACATAGTTGGTGGGATTGTTGATGACACCTACCTATATATGGAAAGATAAGTTTGTGGGGTTGCCCAATCATGACAAATAATTTATACCCCGCGCCAAAAGCTGCTATTGACAAGACAGGAACCGCAACGTTTTGTCGAATTGGTCTTTGTGAGTCCGATCCTCGCGGCAGGTCTACTCGGATGAGAAGCTCTCACAGGAAACAAGGAGTTTTTCCAGTGCTTCCAAATTCCCCATTATTACCCGATCCGGGGGAACCGAGATGCAGGTATTTGGAAAACAACCCTGTGATAGTACCTTATCTCACTGTTGTCTAGGCCTGCCGATCCGCCAGCGGCGCTTGGGACTGTCTCTTGTGTCCCGTCAGGAACTTGAACCGGCCCAGGAGCTTATTCACATTGTGCATTCGGGGCGGTGGGTGAGTTGGTGCTCGTTTGAGTATTTAAAGACGTTGATCGTCCCCTCTTTGTTGAACTTGCTCTCCATCTTTCATCTCACAACCTCCAGTCTCATCAAACTTTGCTTGACTTGTTACCTTATCTTTCACTTGTATATCTTCACTTGACCATATACTCAGCTCAACATGCCTCTCTCCGGACACTGCCTTTGCAAAGCCGTCACCTACAAGGTCGACATTGACGCCCCTCTCCTCACTGGTTATGACCACTGTGATGATTGCCAGCGTCAATCGGGCTCTACCTACTGTAAGATTATCCCGTCATTATTCCTACGTCACTGCCCGGACTCGAGGTGCTACCCCACCACCGTTTCGATCTTATCAGATCGCTAACAAATTCGATGTAACAGCCCTTGTAGTCGTGGTTCCCAAGGACAAGCTTGAAGTCAAGGGACCCGTCAAGAAGTGGAAGGGCACTGCCGACTCCGGGAATGCCGTCTGGCGTTGGTTCTGCGAGGAATGCGGCTCTCCCATTGCTCACGACCCCGATGCCGCTCCCGAGATCATTGCCCTCAAGGGTGGCAGCTTGGATACCGAGCTCAAGAAGGACTTGAAGCCTGTGAGTTATTAGTCAATCTGAGCAAGAACTGGAAGCTAACAGAAGCATAGGACACCGAGATCTGGACTGCCAGCAAGCTCCCCTTCTGCCAGGAGCACCTGGCGAAGCCTTTCGTGCACATGCCCCAGTAAATACTTACTATCTTTTCTAGTCATTGATTGATCTGGCATAGCATTCGCATAGCAAACTGGGAGGATAGGGACTAGCATATGAAGGGGCTGAGAAGGCTGATTAAATGAATCGACTCAACTTTATATAGCGATGGCGAACCAGACGAAAACAAGAAGAAATCCAAAGGCAAGGCCGTGTCCAAGACCCCAGCGAATACGGGAACCAAGACCTCCAAACCAGTAAAATCGAAGATGCCTACCCCGGCGAAGACAGCTACAAGTAAGAATAAGTCCACGACGCAAGCGTCCACAAGTAAGACCAAGCCCGCGAATAAAACCAAGACCACGGCGGCGAGTAAAGTATCCGGCAGTAAGGTAGCCAAGGAGGATGTCACTGGGATAAGACGGAGTCCACGTTTTAGACCCCGTGGCGGAGATCCATTCCCGAAGAGTCCCATGCCAGAATGGGTTTGAGGAGATGGGCCGTTGTTTGGTCCGCCATCAAAACGAAGTCGAGGTAGGTGAATGCTGTAAAACCACCGCATATATAATCCCTGTTTTACTGCCGAGGAAGTCTCCATCTCCAGGTCCATCTATTGGGGCTACCGACCTGTAGGTTGACTCAACATCGCTTGAAACTGAACCGTCGCGGACCAAGAACGTCGTGTAACAGTAAAAAAACAGAAGTAGGTATCACCACCGGGCCAGCAAATAGCAAGTCCAAATTTCCGCCCTCGTACAACTCCGTTCCTAGAGCCAAGCTGACATAGCAGCGGTAGAAAAAGTCATTCAGGAGTTTCAGGAGTCAAGATTCGAAACACTGTATCTACTATCAAAACGCCAGCTAGGCGGCAAAAGACAAAAAACACAATCCCATTCAACTACATCCAACATGAGATTATAAATACCCTTTCATGTTACTCACCTTCCATAACCCCCCTGAAACCAACTCCTCCCACCTTGTCCCCCTTGCTGTCCCTCACCACCCTGGCCCTGTGGCCTCTCATCAGGAGTATAAAATCTCTCATCCGCCAGACTCATCGGGCTCAACTGCCCAGGATCACTCCCATAAAGCTCAAACCTCGCACTATCACTCCTCTGAACTCCCCCCCCTTGCCCAACATCACTCTCCGTAACCCCACTCACACTCCCTATCCCCGTCCCCCCCGTAGCCGTCGTCGCCTGCCTCCTAACACCCCCCTCGGCAATCTCCACAGGCCGCTGTATCTCCCCGGGATCATTAGGCATAACCGGCACCCCCTGCCCCGTAAAATTCGCCGACGGCGCCGGAATAGGTGACATCATATTCGGAAAGTAAGCCTGCTGGTCAATCCCCGGTGTCGTGCTCGCCGACTGAGGATTAGGACTCCCAACATACCCACCACCACCACCGTTGGGGTAATAACCCCCAAGATTATCCGGCGGCGACGGATCAGAATACGGCCCTGGCCGCGCCTCAGGACCGGTGTACTCCTGCGTCCCAAACGGTACCCGTCCACTCTGCACCTCCGACGCCGCTGGTCCTCCCCGGCCGTCTTCCGTCCCGCCAATGAATCGGGGAACTCCAGAAGCGGAAGTCGCAGTCCCAGCTTGGGTGCGGCCTTTGTGTCTGCGGTGCCAGTACCATGTTGCTGCACCTATTAAGATTCCGGCTGCAATGACGACGCCTACCGCTATGCCGGCTTTGGCGCCGACGGAGAGGTCGTTCGAGACGTTTGCCTCGTTGCGGTCGATGGAAGAGATGTCGCTTCCTGTCGGGATGACGGTCGTCATGGCACACACCGGGGAGCCGTCAGACTGGGAACAGGCGAGGGTGTTGGGGCAGCAGCCGCCTCCTAGACTGCTGGCGCAGGTTATTTGCCCTTGGGTGCAGCCTGACGGGACGGGGGTTAGTAAAGGGGGGGTGGAGGGGGCAATGGTGTTGAGGCATAGGAAAGAAGTGCCGCAGGTTTGGCCGTGGCGGCAGCAGGCGCCGCCAAAGTCTAGGGGGCAGCCGTAGTAGGAGATTTGAGGGCATTGGCGGCGGCAGCAGGCGGAGGAGGTGGTGGTTACGGGGGTGTTGGAGCTGGTGCGGGTGACGGTGACGAGGCATTGGTACTTGTCTGCTGCGCAGGGGGAGTCACAGGTCGAGCCGATGCGGCAGCAGGCGGCTTCGGAGGGGTTGGTGCTGTTGATGATGCAGCTGTTTGGATGTTAGTATATGAGCCGGTGTGTGTAACTGTGGCTCCATGACGCCGGACAGGCGCATAGATCCTTTAAAGACCTTTGAACTTTAGGGGAAGACCTACTATTGATTATTCGGACAACAGAATCGTTCTCCTGGAGGCCCCAGCTCGCCGCCTGTGATATTGTCAGTGATAATGCTTGAGAGAAGACGATGAGAACTTACATGGATGCATATCATCTTGAGGGCATCCAACCTGCCTCTTCTCCATTGGAAATCCCGGTATGGCATAGAAGGCTCGCGGCATCAAGTATCCCTCATGTGGAGGGGATGTTTCGATCGCGGCAAAGCGTTCATGGCTGGTGGTGGTGGACGGAACAGCAGCGCGGACGTCCCGGACAACGAACATAGCCGCAATGAGTGCCCGCGCAATTATTGAGGTAACCATCGTGAGAAGGCGCGCAAAGTAAACTCAGGCTAATTAGATGAGTAAGTAAGGCACTGAGACCATGACTGAGAACATCGCCACCATCAACAACAACGCCGCCGAGGATGGAGAATGGGGTGAAAGAGCAAAAACTCGAGATGTCAATTCGATAGTTCCATGGTGGTGTAGTCGATGGAAAATCCAACCCGGCCTGGTTTACGAATACATATGCATGTCAGCAGCACCTCTTCCCAAACCCTTCTCGTAGTTCCCGATCGAGCTGTTTGGTGTGAACACCCCCCATGGAAATAAGGACCCAGATCACCGGCCGGGGTTCTTCAATGCCCGTGGACAGGGGTCATGGAGGGGTCTTGAGCGCGATGGAGCTGTCGTTGCTACCCTTCCTCTTCCAGATGAAGATGGTGGCTGTGGGTTGGCCGACCGCAGTCACTCCCAGTTGAAGAGCCAATAGTGGCAGAGGATGCACGCCTCCCGTCTTTTGCCCTCCAACCCGGATAGATGGCAATCTATAAAATGGATTTCCGTAAGGCGGTGCTCGGTAAAGGAATTGTAAATGCAGAAGGAGGAGGCCAACGGCTGCTGGTCTTCACATGCTAGTTTGTTGGTGTTGGTGAAAGCGCCAAGGGTTACTTCAAGAATGTCAGCAAAGTTGAGCTTCCGACGGGGATCTCCAAGCGTGGTGTATGGTTCGCTGATACAAGGTGAGAGCATGCCGTAAGGTGAGAGCTCACACCTCACCTCAGACGAACCATAGGTAACCCAAGTCGAAAAAGGGTCCTATTTGTGAGAGCATATTGGCGGGGCTCTAGGATGATTAGAGAGATAATGGGGGTCGTGGTTGTTCGAATCCCATGGACGAGAGTGGTCACTGTAAAGATGTTATGTCGTTATCCTCATCCAAACACCCATTCCTGCCTCGTCTCTCGGCGTAAGAACGCACCGAGTGGCCGTGAAATCCATCATGAAATCAACGACATCACTGATCTCCAGATATGAATTAAGGTTCTGGGGCACCCCAAGGGCACGGTGCTGTCAAAATATAGTGCGGGCCCCCAGCGGGGTACCCCAGCGCTAGCAGCTGGCGATTGCTATACCGCATAGGACAGCCCCGTTAAGTGCGATTTCGGCGTGGCTGCCCCGCGCACTAGGGCCAGATACCGACAAACTGAGCCGGGGAACCCCTCCGCCGCCCACCCCCCGTCCCAGCATCAACACCGCACATCCAGCCAACGACGGGCGTCTTCAAAGGGGTCACTGCAACAAAGTTGAATGCCGCACTGCCGCAGCTTGACGTAGTGGGCTCCTTTTCCACATACTCCACCCACACAACCGAAACTCGATAAACCGATTACCCATTCCACGATAGCCGTCGCCAGCATGGCCCAGGCCTACGACGACGAGGAGCTGTCCATCTCCCTGTCGCCCTCTCAGATCCGCCGGAACAAGAGACAGGGCGACGTAGGATACGGCCAGACTCCCGTCGGCTCCATCAACACCGCCATCATGCTGCCAGGCAACGCCAACCCCCAGTTGCCCATGCGCGACAAGATGCGCACCGAGCAGCGCATCGGCGCCTACAACATTGTCAAGACGCTCGGCGAGGGCTCCTTCGGCAAGGTCAAGCTGGCTGTCCACCGCAGCACCGGCCAGCAGGTTGCCCTCAAGATCATCTCTCGCAAGAAACTTATCAGCCGCGACATGCAGGGCCGTGTCGAGCGCGAGATTGAGTATCTTCAGCTGCTCCGCCATCCTCACATCATTAAGCTGTATGGTCCTCGTACCACCAACATGTGATCCACGGCTGACGCTCGTGTTATACTCCTAGTTATACCGTTATCAAGACCCCGACCGAGATCATTATGGTCCTCGAGTATGCCGGTGGAGAACTGTTCGATTACATTGTCCAGCATGGCAAGATGCGCGAGGATGAGGCCCGCCGGTTCTTCCAGCAGATGCTATGCGCCGTCGAGTATTGCCATCGCCACAAAATTGTCCACCGTGACTTGAAACCCGAGAACTTGCTTCTGGATGAGAACCTAAACGTCAAGATCGCCGATTTCGGTCTCAGCAACATCATGACGGACGGAAACTTCCTCAAGACCAGTTGCGGCTCCCCCAACTACGCGGCCCCTGAAGTTATCGGCGGAAAGCTGTATGCCGGACCCGAGGTCGATGTGTGGAGTTGCGGTGTCATTCTCTACGTTCTACTTGTCGGCCGTCTTCCCTTCGACGATGAACATATCCCGAGTCTGTTCGCCAAGATTGCGAAGGGAAGCTACATGGTACCGACTTGGATGAGTCCGGGCGCATCCACCCTTATTAAGAAGATGTTGGTGGTCAACCCGGTCCAGCGTGCGACTATCGAGGAGATTCGACAAGACCCATGGTTCCTCAAGGACCTTCCATCGTATCTGCACCCACCAGTAGAAGAGTTCCTCAACACCGGCGTCGACCCCAACAAGGCTATCAGGGTGAGCGACATCGCCCCTGGCGCACCTCCACAAGAGCAGGTGAAGCTCCACAACGAAGTCACGGAGAAGATCAGCAAGACCATGGGTTACGGCAAGAGGGATGTCGAGGAGGCGCTGGAAGCCGAGGAACCATCCGCCATCAAGGACGCCTACATGATTGTTCGCGAGAACAAGCTCATGGAAAACAACCGTAAGTGCACTTTTCTTTGATGTAGCCCTATTCTTCCTGTTCGTAGTGTGAACCCCATTACATGCCTTTCCTATGTCATTGGCCATCGTGAGCCTGACGGGATTGAAGCAACCCTTGGACACGACAATCCATTTGGGTCATCGCCGACAGACAACATAGAACTGGGTACTAAAAGCGCCGAAGAACTCTCAGTTCTCACACCAGATGACCCGAATGCGAGTCCCATGTTGGACGCCACAATGTCCTCGGCCCGTTCCATCGCCTCCACGAGCACTGGAGCATCGGCAAGGCCCTACGTTAGCAAAGTCGGCATCCTTCCCAGCAGTCTGCCGGCCTACCACAAGGTATTCATGGAAAGGGAGAAGGCCAAAGCAGAAGGGCAGGATAACTTTCCCGATCAACCGCCAATTCCCGAGCCAGGGGCTCCACGAAGCCAAGCAGACCAAGAAGAGACTCTTCGACGGCTCAAACCCCACAGCCGTAGTTTTGTCCGCATGGAAGATGCAAAGCGGCCCCAAGGCCTCACGCCAGTCAACCCGCCAAAGAAGAACAAGCCCGTTCGATGGCAGTTTGGCATTCGCTCTAGAAACGCACCTTGGGAAGCGCTTGTTTGTATCTACAAATCTCTCCACAAACTGGGAGCAAGCTGGATTGTAGATGAAGACTATGATCTCTTGCATGAGGAGGATGAACATCAGGATTACGACGGCAGACACTCTAGGAAACCGAGCTCGTCGTCCTATACCGACCCAACCAAGCACTACAAGCTTCCGGCCGACCCATGGCATATCAAGATCAGATGGTGCACAGACAGTATGCCCCCCTTTTTATGCCCCCTATCTCTTCTTGGCCCTGACAGCTATGACAGCATTCCAAAAACATTCCGCGGCCTCGGGCCTGAGCGAAACAGGTCATTCACAACCACACCACGTCACCACTCGCGGCGAGAACAAGGATCACAAGGTGGTGGCGACGAGGATGGACGTACAGATCTACGAGATGGAGCATGGCGTTTATTTGGTAGACTTCAAGGTGGACGGGTACGAAACCCCCGAGGGCAAGCTGCTCGAGGACAAGGAGGTGACAAGCCCCTTCCCATTCTTGGACATGGCCGCGAGGCTTATTATGCAGCTGGCGGATGCGGATTGATTATTGCATATTAATAGAATTCTGATATTTCCGCGGATGGAGAAGATCAACATTATTTCTTCCGTTTCTCTTTGTTTTGCTGTGCATTTGCTGAGAAGGATTGCTGTTTGTCTGTTGCTTTGTGGAATTCCCATCACTTGACGGCTGGGGTTGGAGGACGAATTGTATCATTCCAGTTAGCTGGATCTGTGTGTTTGATACCTGTCTGTAGTCGATATCGGGGCTGTGCCCCCTATCTGTATCATCGACATGCAATGCCGGTAAGGCCGCACCCGCCTCATAGGCAAGCATGTTGAGGTGGACCCATGGGGGCACAGGCTGCTGTTTTAGCTTCACAGCATGTGTTGTGTGAAGGAGCCTCTCCAATCATCTCCAATTACGGCTCTTACAACTCGTGGCCCTGTCATATGGAAAGCGAACCGACGAATCGGATGTCACCATGTTAATCTATCCTGTACTTCACACAAGAGCTGAAGCACTACTACCCGTCTCCATAAGGATGATCTGCTCTAGGTGGAACGATACTTATATCGTGCACCCTCATAAGGCTGGCCATTCTGGCATGAGCCATGATCCAGGCTGACTTCAGCACACTGAGCTGTAACAATGGCAACTAACTCACCACGATATGACGGACACCAATACGCACAGGTCTCAGGACCACCGTCGCCGCAAACCACGGCGACAGGAGGGCGCGTTTCCATGGAGCCGCCGTCAGTGCTCCTTTCACCGCCGAGTCGTTATGCCAGTCCAGTATCACCTTTCCCCCAGACCGAACACCACAAGAAGTCGAGCAATATCACATTCGTTCCCATCGTCGATACGGACGAAGATCCGCAATATGGCCACACGCCAACGAGAAAACCAGTCACTCGGACTTGGTCGGCAATTGGCAACTAGTGGCCTGAGATCGCCAGCTCCTTGCTCAGTCTCTTGTGTGTCCCAGCCCTCGTTATCCTCTTACGCAGCTATGATGACCGCCCGCTCTCAGAGTGGCACCTCATTATCACACTCAACACCGTGATTGCTTTCATATCCACCATCTGCCGAATGTCCTTCATTTATCCTCTGGTACAGGCCCTTGCTCAGCAGAGATGGAACTGGTTCAAAAGCCCTAGGTCTCTAGACGATTTTCGTGTATTTGACGAGGCCTCTAGGGGGTCATTGGGCAGTTTGTTGTTGATGATTAGAATGAAGGGGAGGTAAGCAATCATGATTTCACCACGCATGATTGAATGGTGCTGGATATTGACAATATTTGTATGAAGGCCGCTGGGAATTGTCAGCTGTCTCGTCCTCATCACAAGCATCGCTACCTCGACTCTCACTCAGTCTGTCGTCACTTACCCAAGTCGCATGGTGCCTGTCATGGGCAATGACACGGCTGTTGCGAAAAAAGTTGACGAGTTCTACTATGTCTCAGGCAACCGCGCTAGTAAGTAGGATGCCGCTGTTGAGACAGCGTAACTCAGCTAACATGTGGCCAAGATGGACGCTTGTTTCCCCTTCAGCAAGCCCTACGAAGCAGCGGTTCTACCACACCCACACAACCTGTGCCCTATCTACCACCCACCTGCCGAACTTCCGAGTGCACATGGCCCGAATTCAACACCATGGCAGTTTGTGTAAACATGACCAGTGCGTGCGGAGTACAACCCCGAGCAGAAATTCCCAGGCTAATCACTGCGGGCAGATGTCACAAGCCTCCTCACCTACGACGACCTAATCCCAGGAACATCCGAGTGGCACAGAGGCGGCAGACCAAGAACAAACGTCAGCCTACCCAACGGAGTCAGCTTCCAGCCCTACCCCTACAGAAAAGCCGGTCGACAGATCGGTCTCGATGTTGGCATCGGAGCAGGTCTCACCTCCAACTGGTCAGAGCCGCAGCGAGAACAGGAGATTGCCTCCCTCTCCTTCAACGGAACAGAAGGCCAGAAAGCCGAGCTGACGAGCGTTTTCCTCTTGTATTCTGATCCCATCCGGGCGACAGAGGTGATGTTTCACTACTGCGTCAACAGATACAACATGTCAATATCGGAAAACGTGCCCAAGATCCAGCTTTTGGAGTCTAGTACAAAGGTCGAGTATCACGATGCTGAACACCCTCACATGTACAAAACTCTTGTCGATCCTCAAAACTCGAGTGTGACGTACAAATTCGGGTCGACGTCTAATCACTTTCTTACTGGGATGCTGAGGGATTTTTTCGTGGAGAATTCCACTGATAGATCGATGATGGGGACGATGAGGGATATGTTTTCTGTGTTGCTGTATCAGCTCCCTTTTTCGAAGGGCAACGACGATAGAGAGGAGAGGGATGAGCAGGGGTTAGATGATTTTAGGTATGATGTTGTTAGGAATATGTCGTTGAATGTGGCTATGGGGTTGACGAATGTGTATGTTTTTCCCTCCCTTTATTATTTCCCCCTTTGATCGGCTGGCTGATTTGTACGGATGGCAGTATGTTTGACAGCACGACGCAAGCTGTTTCCAGTCTGGTCAGTGGCACGGCTTGGCAGGAGGAGAGGTATATCTCTGTTCGGTGGGAGTGGCTTTCTCTTGTGGCGGCGCAGATTGGGTTGGCGCTGGTGGTTTTGGTGTTGGTCATGGTCCAAACTGCGAGGTTGGGGGTGCCGGTGGTGAAGAGCGATATTTTGCCGGCGTTTTTTGCTGTTGGGTTGGCGGAGAGGGCGGAGGCTGAGAGGGGGCGGGTGAGTGATGTTGGGTTTTCTCCAGAGGTGAAGAAGAACGGGGCGACGCCGGAGGAGAGCTTTGCTTTGATGGGAGAGCTGCAGAAGACGCAGAAGGGGAAGTGGGTTTTGGAGGGCTTGTATAGGAGGAGGTGATCTTGGGAGTAATAGGGAGAAGTAATGGTAGGTATGAGGGAGCCTTTTTGGAGCTGCCTGATGGTTACCTACCTATCGAGTTGATATGCCTTGAGGCTTGTTGACCGTCTTTCAAGACCTATTTAACATGTGATGAGGCCCAGAAAGACGATTGGAAGAATCTGCGTTGAAGACCTTTCGGTAGCTTCAAGTAGGCCCCTGTATAGTGTCTAAGGTATTTCAACCTCACTGTTACCTAGTATAAAATTGATTGGACAATGGGACAAAGGACTTTGAGCCAAAGTCTGGCAGTCGAAGAGAGATGAATGAACCGACCAATGAGCCCACAGACGGCTGCGAACTTCTAATATACATAGCCGAGCTATGGAAGTGCCTTACTTTATTTTCCGTCTTTTATCTCATACTCAGGCAATATCAAATGTGGCCGATTGTACCTCCTGTTGAGTCACGCCGTTCCACAAACTGAAGATATATTTGCTTCGGGGACGTACTTCGCCATCAAGCCGTGAAGTTGTATATCATCACGGATTGGTAAGTAGGTACGCCAGCGTCTTCAGACGTGATGATGTCTCCCAACCAAGACACCACGGCACTTAAAAACCCCCTCGGGGCAATTTTTTGGAAACCTGTCAACCTGCAGCACAGTTACCGATATGGCACAAAACACTACACCTCATGAGAAAAGTCCCAATATCGACATGATTCATCACGCTTCACTACGGTCGCTAGGCACGATGATGCCTGGCCCGATCGAAGCCTCGTCCATGGTTTTCCTTCCAGCCAGTCCACATAACAGTCCAGCAACGGTTACATTGTCCGCAAAAAGATCTGTTTCTACACTCCGGACAGCAGTCATTAATTGGGGGCAGGCACTGACTAGCATTGCTTTTAGTCTTTGCCTGTGGCTTCCCATAATCATCGGTATATTGCACGTTTATGATGGGCGCCCTCTGGCGGACTGGCTGCTTCCAATCACACTCAACGCCCTTATCGCTTTCATTTCAACTGCCTGTCGGACGGCTTTTATCTTCTCATTAGTGCAGGCTCTCGCTCAGCAACGGTGGTATTGGTATGAAAGCCCAAGGTCACTTGGCGATTTTAGTGTTTTTATGAGGCTTCGAGAGGAATATGGGGAAGTGTGAGACTGATGGGTACAATGAGAGGAAGGTAAGAAGCCTACACCAGCCTTAGAATTTGGCATTCCATAACTAACACTTCCTATACAGGCCGCTGAGTAGTATGACATGCCTTGTTTTAGTCACAAGTCTTGCGACGTCAACCATGACTTAATCCGCCGTCACTTATCCCGTCCGTTTTATTCATGTTAATGACGTCGAGTCTGCTGTGATTGCGAGATGCATTGGGTCGAGAAACATGAGGGCATTGAATCCGTAAGCAACACTTCCTAAAGCGGCGGGAATAATACAGTTTTGACCTGGAATAAAGCTATAAATTCAAGCGACTTCTCGTGAGCAGCCCTCTAACTCTGTCATCTCATAATTCGGCATCACGAGTACCAATCTGTAAGACCGCAAAATGCACATGGCCCGAGTTCAGTACCATGGAGGTCGGCGCGAAAACTGCAGGTAACGAACGGGATAAAACTCAAGCCAGTAAAACCAACCCCCGACGTCTCAGGAACCTTTACCATGGCCGCAGGGATCACTGACCCATATTGGTCTCGTTCAAGCCTCTCTTCGCTGTACTTTAATGGGACTGATGAACATAAGGTGCAAATCGCAAGTCTTTTTTGCCCTGGCAGATTTGCCGTTCTATCGCGCATACGAAGTCATATTCTACGACTGCGTCAACCGATACCAAGTATCAGTATCTGAAAACATACCAACGACAGAACTGATTTCGTCAACCGCTCATACAAACGTCGGTGACGGTGGGCAGTGGTTGATCGACAAAGAAGACCCTCTTATCACATACCTGGTTTCCAAAGGCTATAGCACATTCACGTCCAAGAACCTGAACGACATCTTCCTCCAAAGCAATGAGTTCGGACAAATGCTATGGGAGTGGTGGTCATACTATAATAATTCAAAAGACGGACAAGATTGTACAAGCCAAGAGTTGCATCTTGACTCCGTTATCCATAAAATGTCACAGAATCTTGCTGCTGAGCTCACCAATGAGTATGTCAGACTTTCGCTTCTCAGCTTCAAGCTTCCCAGCGCAAAAATGATATCGACCTCTACCCACTCATCCGAGCATCTCAGCTAACAATCTTGCATCACAGCCTCCTCGATCCCAGGAGTGAGGATGTTAGCCTCGCGTTGGGAACAGCATGGCAACAGGAGATCTAGGTCTCAGTCCGTTGAGAGTGGCTTTTACTTATCGCCGCACAGGTTTATCTATCTCTCATTGTCCTCATACTGGTCATAATCCAGACATCAGATCTCGGCCTCCCCGTGGTCAAGAGCTCCATCCTGCCTGTTTTCTTTGCTGTTGGAATGGCCGACAGAACGAAGATAGAGAATGAACATGAGAGAGGAGCTGCCGGATTAGCCACCTCTGGCTTGACAGACGAGGAGAAAGACATTGGCCCGGAAAAGGCATCTAAACGGGGCAAGAAGATGGACAAAACAACACCCAAAGAAAGCTACGCCTTGCTTGGGGAGCTACAAAAGACACAGAATGGAAAATGGGCTCTCAGGAGTGTGTAACGGGAAGGCTGACGATAAGCGTTCCACCAGAGCTTCATCTCGATCTAATACAACCAGATATTCTAACAAGACAATCAACAAGGGATGCGAACACTAGTATAAATATATACAAAAGGCTGGACAATATATACAATGATAGGCCTTACAGCGCAGCACACATGGAGGATCGATATTAACGAAAGTGAAACATCACGTTCTCAGCCCCAAACATTTCTTCTGGGAGATCTATTACTCGTTGCCTTGTCCAGCAAGTTCGACTCTATCCTGCCCTAAAGTCTCCCCTCCTCCAAAACCTCGATCAGTTCATCCAACCTCTCAATCACCAAATCAGTATGCTCATGGTCCACCAAATGTCTATTCACATCATTGACCAACAAGACCGTCTTGGCACCCGCCCTCCTCCCAGCAGTGATATCATCCACTGAGTCACCCACCATTATCAACCCACTCGCATCCGCCACCTCCTCTCCCTTCTCCGTATGGAGTAGCTCCCCCTCTTCTTGCCCCCTCTCGGCAATCTTTTCCTTTTCCTCCGCCTCATCAACGGGAATGCCAGGCTCACCAGTTGACTTCCTCACCAAACCCCAAGAACGGGCAATATGGAGAATACCAGCGGGGTCGGGCTTGGGAGGGCGGAAATCACGGGTGACGATGGGGCCAAAGACGGAGGAAGGGAGGAATTTGTCAAGGAGGTTCTGGACGGGGAGGTCAAAGTTGCGGGTGCAGATTCCTTTGCGGATGGAGCGGGAGTCGAGGTAGGACATTAGGGGGGCGAGGCCGGGTTGGGGGACCTGGGTCAGCATGGCTTCGCGTTCTATGGTGCGGATTTTCTCCATGGCGGTGTGTTGGTCTTCGGGGGTGGGGAGGGAGTAGACGTGGTCGAGGATATCGACTGATTTGGGGATGCCGAGGGCGGAGCGCATGGCGGCGAACATGTAGGTTTGGGGTTCACTAGTTTTATGTTAGTTGGCATGCTTTTGAGGTTGGGGGGAATGGAAGTGAGAGTGAAATGGTGGGTGAGTGAGACATGATGGGTGGGAGGTATGAGATGTGACAGGTAATATGGGGCAGGCTTCATAAGAGCTAGAGGTCGAAAGACACAACCTCGAAGTCTGACTCAGGGACTCAAAGCCCAGGCTAGAAACACAAATAAGCTCACCATAGCGTCCCGTCGACATCAAAAACGATGCCCTCTAGCTTGCGGGTGTTGGGGCTAGGAACAAATGGCTGTTTCAACGGCGCGAATTTCCACGGGGCTGAAGTAACGGCGGACATGATGGGCCAAAATCTTCGCATCCCACCGTCTGGAAGTTACTTGAAATAAAAGGTGCGGGGTTGCCAACAACCCTATATAAAAGTTGTAAAGAAAGTGAGGGTATCACAATATCGATAATTGATGAGGGGCTCGAGTGAGGATCCAATTCGTAAATGCCAAGAGATATAGCTCCAAAAAGATTGATGCTTAAATAAACGGCACAACAAGAGGTTAGGTACCAAGGATTCGGAATGACGAGAAAAGGCAATCAATCAGCAGCTCAATGTGAAACAGCACTCGTACAAGTCACACTCTGTCAAAAGAAGTCTCACTTGACCCCGCGATTTCACCTTTTGCTTGCTCTCAAAGCGTCCGTTCTTCTAGAATGTTTTAGGGCTGGTACGTCACTGGCTGCGATTAGGCGATGGATCACCTGCGGGCGGCTTGACCAACCGAACAGCGCGCAAAACACCCCGGTCCGGCAGCCCCCATGCACGGCCTGACAGGGCAGTTTTAGCGGGAAGTGGCCGCCTTTTTCTTTCAAGGATCTGCGGGCAACACAAGGAACCTGCGGCGGGGTGCGACAGGAAGACCAGAGACGGATCGAACGGCGGCGGCAAGCTGAGGCAAGCTGTGGGTGGTGCTGCTGCCCGCTGCCGGAAGCTGCACCTCAGCTTGATCTGGGAACCTGACCTGCCTGCCCAAGTGGAAGAAGCATCAAAGAAAGGAAACCAGGAACCAGCAAAAAAACAACCTCCGAATTCCATTGCATACCTCGATTCAAACCACCATCCGAACTCTCTGACGGCGAGGGACCTGTTCTTTTTTCTCCCACTCGTGTCCCTTGCATTTCCCCTTTCCAACAACATCAACACGTCTCTCTTTGCGTCTGCGTACTGGAGACTTGTTGTTCTATTCCTAAGCCGCTCACCCCTAGGTTGTTCGAAGCTTATCTTCAGATTGACTATGAACTGCTAAATGAGCTCCTCTCCGACACTGCCTTCGCCAGGCCAATGGCCACCGCGAAGGCCCTCCAAAAGAAGTGTATGTTATTATACTCCATCACGCGACATGATCCCCAAACTAATCTAACATCCTCAGAAACTGCGCAATGGCACCTTCATCATCCCCGCCACCGGCGAGCGCTCCCGCCGCGTCTTGACCCTCCGCACCAACAGCTCCGGCCTATCCTCCCAAACCGACGGCACCCGTTCCCGCTCCCTCTCGGGCCTCACCACCTTCCCCTACGAACAAACATCCTTCTCCGACCGTTTCTCCCACCTTGCGCGACAAACCCGCGAGAAATGCGCCTGGATCCTCCGCTGGCTCGACTCGCCCGTCGGCCACGGCGTGCTGAAATGCACGCTGGCGTACACACTCGGCAGTCTGGCTACCTTCTGGGCGCCCATCTCCGACTGGTTGGGCCGGCCGGACGGTAAGCACGTGGTGGCCACGCTGACTGTTTATTTTCATCCAGCGAGGTCCGCCGGCTCGATGATTGAGGCGGTGCTGATTGCCATTGTTGCGGTGGTGTATGCGCAGATTGTCTCGATTTTGTCCATGGCGACTTCGGTGCTGGTGGGAGGGCAGTGGCATTGTGTTCCCTTGGCGCATGCGCTGGTGCTGGCCGTCTTCATAGGGGGAGGATTTGGGTTTATTGGTTGGGTGAAACAGCGGATGGGGAATCCGTTGGTGGATGTGGGGAGTACGCTGGCTTCGTTGGCGATTATTGGGGTGGTGACCAAGGAGACGGCGGTGTTGACGGGGGTGTTTTCGAATCAAAAGATCATTCAGATTCTCAAGATGTTCTTTTTGGGGGTCAGTGCTACTACCGCGGTTAACCTTTTGGTGTGGAGGGTTTCGGCGAGATCGTTGTTGAGGGACACCATGACCAAGTCTTCGACTTCGCTGGGACACATGCTGGCCTTGATTACGAGTGGGTTTCTCAGTGGCTCAGAGGAGGATGTCACGTCGGGCCAGTTTGCGGCTGCTTCAGCTGCGTACAACCAGGTGTATCCTCAGATGATTAAGAACCTACGGGAGTCCAAGTTTGAGCGGTATCTTCTGGGTCAGGAGAAGCTGTACCAGCTTGACAGAGCTGTTGTAAGGTCTATGGAAAGGTTGGCACAGTCGATTGGTGGGCTCAGGAGCGCGGCCAACACGCAGTTTGCGCTGTTGAGAGAGTCGATGATGCAGGGGTCTGGAATGATGTCTCCGGCGGCGTCGCTCTACTCACCCGTCTTGCAGCGGACGTTGTCAAACCCCCTTAAGAGCGGGAAAGGGTTTGGTATTTTGTCCGCGATTGACGAGGCGTCAGACGAGAGCAACGAGGACGAGAGAGGCCGTGTTAAAGACCGGCGTCGATCGGATGCTACGACTGCTAGCATCCCGTTCCGCAACTCTTCTGATATCTTTGAGCTCTTTATCAACCTGCTGGGTCCGTCGATGAAGTCCTTGGCGTATACGCTCTCCGAGGTGCTGCGCGACCCACCATTTGGCACGGCCCCCGACTACGACATCACTATCAATGATCACTTCCGCCAGAGTCTTACCGATGCTCTGTCACTCTTCAACGGGGCAAGGGCGGACGCTCTTCAGGAGTTGTACAAGCACATCGAGCTGGATCGTACGAGATCGGCCAGTATCCAAGCCGACTTTGAAGAGGTGGCGGCGGCATGTGGCCACTTCAGTTTTAGCCTGCAAGCGTTTGGGGAGGAGATGCAAAAGTACCTCGACGTGCTGGATGATTTGAAGTTCGCCAATGAGCACAGGTTACGGAGCTGGCATTGGATGAAGTGGTGGGGCAACCGACGCGGATACAACAACCGCAAGATCACGTTGCCGTTTGACCATGCGGAACGGGAGACGCTGATCAAGCCGATCAAGAAGAGCCAGATGCCGAGGGGTATTGCGGATTCCATGGTGCAGAGACGTGATACGTATGCATGGAGTGCTGTTCCTGGGACGAACAAGGTTATTGCTACGCTCTCCCAGAGGCTTCTCCGGGTGTTGAGAAAGGTGGCGAGGGATGACAGTGAGTTAAATTTCTAGCTGCTATGAAATATGCCCATGCTAACAGGTAAACAGTCCGGTTCGGCTTAAAAGTCGGGGCTGGAGCAGCATTTTGGGCCATGTTTGCCTTCATTCCGCAAACTAAGGATACTTACCAGCACTGGAGAGGCGAATGGGGTCTGCTGTCGTTCATGATCGTGTGCTCCATGACGGTTGGCGCATCCAACACCACAGGCTGGGCCAGATTTATGGGAACGGTGGCCGGTATCTCAGCATCGGGCTTCAACTGGACTATCAGCCAAGGCAGCACACTGGCACTTATCCCCCTCGGAGCCATGGTGGCCTTCTGGGCCTTTGTCGTCATTGTCGCTTGGGGTAAGGCTCCGCTGGGTAGAATCACGCTCCTCGCCTACAACGTTTCGACCCTGTACGCCTACAGCCTGTCGCAAAAGGTGGATGACGACGACGACGATGAAGGCGGCTCGAATCCCATCATTGGGGAAATCCTCCTCCATCGTTTCGTGGCTGTCACGGCTGGTATCTTGTGGGGATTGATCATTTGCCGGCTGGTGTGGCCCATATCGGCACGCAAAAAGTTCAAGGAGGGCTTGAGCATGTTGTACTTGCAAATGGGGCTCATCTGGAAGCGAGGACCGCTGGCTATCCTGCTCAGGAGTGATTGTTCCCGGTCCTATCTACGGTCTGGTGAGCAGGCTGCTCTCCAAAAATACGCCGCCCGGCTGGATGCCCTTCGTGGGAGCGCGACCAATGAGTTCGAGCTCCGAGGTCCCTTTCCAGCCGAACAATCCGCTCGTCTGATGGGCTGTGCGCACCGGCTCTTGGACGCATTTTACGCCATGTCACTGGTCACGCAGAGGAAGGGCAGTTTAACGGAGGGGGAGCGAGCGCTGCTGATGTACACGGCTGACGAGAGAGCGCAGCTGTGCGAACGCATCTGTCATGTGTTCCAAGTGCTGGCTTCTTCCCTGATGCTGGAGTACCCCCTGACGGACGCGGTGCCGAGTGTTGACCGGACGAGGGACAGGCTGCTGGCCAAGATTTTCCAATTCCGAAAGGAACACAATCCTAGCGTGGTGCTGGACTATTCTTCTTCTAATGCGGGAAGTGGTAGTATCGGGTCGTCGGGGATGGGGTTCGGAGGACTGCTGGGTAAGCTGTCGCATTTGAACGTGGAGGAGAGAGATTATGCTCTGCTGTATGCATATGCCTTGGTAACAGGGCAGGTGTCGGAGGAGCTCAAGGTGGTGGCCAAGGAGATTGAGGGGTTGTTTGGTGTGTTGGATGAGGATGCGCTTTTGTTGCAGTAAATAGGGTCAAGATTGAGTACGATAAGGGAGTGACGGCGGGCTAAAAAAGGAGTTGGTTTGGTTTGGGTAGGATGGGCAATGGGAACAGGAAAGGGAATTTTTATGGGAAATAGCATGGTAATGATACCTAAGAATAAATGACATAGATGTACAAAGTTCACTTGAAGCCTTTGGTGACGTTGGTGTGGAGGTGTTGTCCGATGCCTGGCTGGAGTCTGATGTTTTGTTAGAAAACGGACTTTGACTTTGAACTGGCAGGTTGTCATGGGCACCAGTCACTGAACTCATCCCGCGATATCCCAGACTTCCCCAGACTTTTGCCCGCCACTCATGATCATGACGCTGTTGACATCTCGCGACAACAGGCAGGACGAGGTCAAGAAAATGCCAAGGAAAGACATTCTTGTTGTCTGATTGGACAATGGTTGGCTGACAATGGGCCTCTGTGGAGCGCTGTCTGAGCTGTGACCCGCCTGTTTCGCGTCGTCGCGAACAATTTACGCGTGAATGCAGCGCGTCGCGCCAGGGGCAGGAATCCTGGATCCCTGCCTTTGCTCCTTCGCGTTCTTCACTTTTTAGCAATCCACTCTCGACTTCAACCTGCACTTGCTTCTGTTTTCCCTCCATTCGCTCTTCCCAGCTGTTTTCAAGACATCGTTCTCTACCCAAAAGATACCCAGCTGTGACTTCCCATCAACTCCTCCAACAAAACATTGCAGGAAAGAAAGAACCAGATCACCATGCCTGGTTTAATAACTCCCCGTAGGACGCGGTCCACCGTCAAGGGCACCAAGATCCCTCCTGCCACGTCGAGTATTGCCAACTTAACAAAGATCTCTAAGCTCTCGACCCTTGGGAAGGACGTCACTTCCGAGAAGAAGGCCACCACCGGCACCATCTTTGGTCGCACCTCCAACATTGAGATTGTCCTCACCACAAAGAAGAGGAAGGTTCAGGATGAGGTCGAGCCCACACCCAAGAAGCAATGTCGGGAGCCCGAGTCGAGACCAATCACGACTACCATTCCTGTTTCGAAAAGGAAGAAGACTGTCACATTCGGCCTGACTGAGAACTCCGCCCCGGCCAAGCCAACTCCAAAACGCGCCGCTCCGGCATCCACACCCAGCAAGAAGCGGTCATACCAAGCCGACGACGAGACCGATGCCTCTTCTCACACCTCGGCTCTTCTGGAACGTCTCAACATCCGATCCCCCATCCCGAAGCGCACCAAGACAGTTGTCACCCCAGCCCAAAATGATTACGACCTCCCCCAAGAGCTCCTCGACCTCCTCGACATGCAGACCGCCTTCCTCAAGACCCTGAACATGGAATACGCCCACAATGGCACCAACTCCCCCATCGACCTCCGAAACCTCTACCCCAGTGTCACCCGCACCTGGGGAAAGCGTAGAGTGTTACTCGTCGACATTCAGCGTCTGCTCGGAGTCCTAAACTGGACACCCGCCAAGTCCTCCCTCGAACCCCTTTTCATCCTCTCCGACTATGGCCGCCAGAAAATCTGCATCGACTTCTCCCCATCCCTGCCTGCGGGCCCGATCAGAGAGGCCGACTTGAATATGGATTTCAAGTCCAACCTCCGCACGTTGTGGATGTCCTCCAACAAGAACGTCACCCTCTTCCTCGGCACCCTCCCCAAGGCTCCAATCAAGAAGTGCGAGAGCCTTCTCAAGGCCGCGATCCCAAAGCAGACAACCCTTGACTCCCTCAAGGCTGGTATCCAAGCCAGAAAAGAAGCCGAGCAAGCCGCCAAGGAGGAAGCCGCCAAGAAACTCGAGCAGGCGGTCAAGCCTGACGGAACAAAGATGACGCTGCTGGAGCGGATCAAGATGAAGGAGGTGGAGCTGAAGAATATGCCCGCGGGTCCTACGCCTCAGGAGCTGCAGAGGCAGGCGGCGCTTCACAGGGCGGAGGATGTGGCGGCCGTGATTGGGATGTTGTGCAAGGCCAGTGGTGGGCAGGCGAGGGTGTCGTTTACGATGCAGCAGGTCCTGACCAAGCTGAAGGATTCGCTGAGGACGCCGATTAGCAGGGAGGACGCGGGGATTTGTGTGAGGTTGTTGGCGGCGGAGGTGACGCCCGAGTGGATTAGGGTTGTGAAGCTGGGGGCGAGGGAGATGGTGGTTGTTGCTGTTGCTGGGCAGCCTAGTCTGACGGTGTTGAAGGAGAGAGTTGGCAAGTTGTTGGGTTGAGGGGAGGTTGAGATTAGGGTTGTCTGGGTGTGGCTTGAGGTTATTTACGGAAAGGGTGGGGGAGTCTGGGTTATGGCTTGGGAAGATGATGCGTTCTTTTTCGAAATGGGAAACATGAAGAAGGAAAAAAAAAGACATGGTGATACCCCTGTATTTTGTTGGGGAACTTTATTGTATAAATTTCTGGGAATGGGGACTTTGGGGGTATGTTATTACTACTACTTTTATAACTTTGCATTTTGGGGTGGGCATGGCATTGCGTTTTTGTTGTACTTCATGGGAAAAGTACGCGCGTGGTATTATGGCATAGCATAGTTGGACTGAGAAGTCTGTCGTGTTTGAATGAAGAAGAGTCAAAGCAAGAGTTGTGCCTGGTGGGCTTGATGTGTGTTGGTGTGGAGATATATACTCATCACTGCGGAGCAAAGCTTTTGGAAGAGGGTTTTTGTTTGTGTTTCAAACAGCAAGACGTAGGTAAACACTTTGGGACTTTCTGACTGAGATGGTCATTTTTGAGAGGAGAGAGATGCATGCATGCCATTCTCAACTTTTTCCGAATGGCACTTGAAAGATAGTCCGCCGACTTTTAGAAATCCTTGGTAGGTCTCCGAGGATAGTTGTTGATAATCAGTTCAGGGTATTCAAAACATTCCATACCTACCATGATGCCCAAACCCAGTGTAACAAAAGCGTAAGCACAAGGATCTCCCATAACTGCTGGCTAGATAGGCAACCTGGAATACAGGCGCACAGTGTTCAACCAAGTTTATTGCACATTGTACAAAACCCCTATCATCTTCCATCTTGACTCCCCTTCCAGATCTAACAAAATCGCCTGCCGGGCTTGGCACACAATATCCATCGTCCGCCCCATCCATCCAAGCAGCTTCCCAAGCCCCCCCCAGAAAAACCCATCCCCCCCTATCCTCCCGTTTAGGCTGGGCGAGAAGTGATGTTGTAGTTAGGTCAGGACAGCTGTTGGCTTGATTAAGAAGGCGACGGCATAAACGTGATCTGGTCTGCTGATATAGAACTGGTATTTCATCGCTGAAGCTATGGAAAGACTCTTTCTTTTTGTGCCCACGATTCTGAACAGATCAGGGGTGGAGAAAAATGTGAGATGAGAGAAAATAGTGAAGAAAATCGAGGAGAAAAACAAGTCTGAAAAGAGATGATGATTTGATGCAAGGAAACACCCTTTTCTCGTACGAATGGTTTCTCTTAGTAGTGCCTGCCGCCTGAGGACGACCCCCCGGCCCCATGGCCCGTCGTAGGTTTTCCCTTCTCAGCTCCTCGGAGGTTAACTGTCTTCGCGGCGCAGGAGGGAGAGGTCCGCTGGGAGGAGCTGGTCGCATGGGCAACGACATGGTGGTTGATTTGGTGGCGGTACTGGGAGATGATGTGCGTTGAGGAGGAGCCATGCTCGGGGACGCTGTGCGCTGGGGGGGAGCCATGCTAGGAGAGGCGGTGCGCTGAGGGGGAGGAGCTGTACGTTGGGGAGGAGGAGCCATGCTGGGGGAGCCGGTACGACGAGGGGGCTGTTGGTCTTCATAGGCAACAGAGCCAGAGGGCCTGGATCTGTGCTGCATCACCGAGTTCGTGCTGGCTACTCGCGGTCCCAGTCCCGGATGTACATTCGCTCCACCTGCGCGGCCAAGGCTGATTGATCCGCTGCCGCTGCGTGGCGGGGGTCGTGTCGGTACGCTATCAAATTGGTCACGAGGTGACACCATGGTCCCCAAGATGGGAATCTCACCTGAAGTGGGTGTTTGCTGAACCCCCCCCTCATTCTGTGCTGGGTACGATGGCGAATCACTGGAGCGCAGGAGATCCTGGATAGCCGGAGAGAGCTGCGGTGCCAGATGGGACTTGCGGTTGTCCCTATCCATAAGACCGCAGGCCCATTCCCTCAGATCCACAGGTGTTCTCTTGGCTGCTTGTACAAAAGGATCGCGGTCCTGTGGGTTGGGTCAGTGTCGGTGTTGAGTAACATGCTAGGTGAGCCATCACTTACAAAAAGCTCTTGAGGGGTTGGTCGGCGCTCGGGTTCCTTGTACAGACACTTCTGAATCATATCATCAAGAATCTGAGGGAAGGCGTCGCTCTTGGGTAGCCTGGGCGCGGGCTCGTGTACAATCTGCTGAAGCAGGTCAAGAATACCGGCAGGGGCGCTCTCGGCATCAGAGAGTTGGTCCGCTGCGGCGAATGGGAACTTTCCAATAGCCAGTTCCATGATGGACAAGCCGAAACTCCACACATCTGACTTGACCGTATACTTCTCACCCTGAATTCTTTCAGGGGCCATGTATGTTGACGTACCGACAAAGGTGTCAGCGATCGAGTTGATGAGCTCACCGGATACGCCAAAATCGCAGAGCTTGATGGATCCTCGCGAGTTGACGAGGATGTTGGAGGGCTTGATGTCGCGGTGCATGATGTGGTGTTTTGAGTAGAGGTATGTAAGACCTCCAAGAGTCGCCTCGGCGATCTTGCCCAAAACATCCACACGGACGGGACCGAATACTCGTGATACCCTGTCCAGAGAGCTATCCGAATTACTGTCAGCCGTGTCAAACACCTTGAGAGCAAGAATACAACACACCCGACATCCATGTACTCCATGCACATGATCACATCGTTGTTCTCGTTCAGGAAAGCGCCGTAGAAGGTCACGATGTAGTCGGAATGGCAGCCACGCATAATCTGAAGCTCACGAACTATGCGCTTCCGCATCTCCTTCTTGGCCTCGACATGAATGATCTGTCATTTGGAGGTTAGAACACCCAAGGAGCCAAGCAAGCCACCTTACGAAGACTAACCTTGCGGGCCATCACTGTGTTGGTCGGGATATGCTTGACTTTGCTGACGGTTCCACCATTGCCAGCTCCAAGATCCTTGATGATCTCCAGGTCTTCAGGCTTCAAGTCCAAGTTGAACTCGATACCAATTTCTAGCTGTTCGTCTTCCCCCTTTGGGCGAGCATTCTCGGCGGTCGGGGGAGGCTTAGGGGCGGCAGGTGTCAGAGCAAGACCCTTGACGTTCTTGCGCTTCATAGAGCGCGGGGCGAATGCGTCAGCCATGGTAGACGGTTCGAATTCGCGACGAGTCTTGTGTTTCGATTGTCTGGAATTACTGAGCGCGCGCCGAACCTGATCGCAATTGCCTGCGGGCAGGAGGCAACACAGGTGGAGTTTGGGCTCGGGGGGCTGGCAGGCAGCTTTGGACCGTTCGTCGGGCGCCGGTGAAAAGTAGTCTGTTGCTCCGTGGTAACCCTCTCAGAGCTACCGGAGACTAAAGATAGGTATTACTGGCAACGGATTCTCGCGTACCTCCTCGGGGTGCTGGGCTCGTCGCGTTTAGTGAGCGGTGGATCGGGCAAACCACAGTGTTGGAGAGGTCCTCGTAACCTGGAAGTCCTTGAGGCGGTATACGTATGATATGTAGGCTACAAGGCAGGTAGACACAGACAAGGCGCAGCACAGGTTCAAAGAGATAGTGAGTGAGGCCTTAAAGCGATGGCAGCGGAGAAGGAGGTTTCATTCAGAAAAAATCGGGGGGATGTGGACGTTTCCTAAGACTGAGTGTCGCGGACGGTCAGTGGCAGTCAATGTGGGGTTCCAGGAGGTGGCCTGGGCTGCGAAGAGAGAAACGAGGCACAAAGGAGGGGTGGTGTCCGTGATCCCCTGCGATTGGGAGGAGACAGGGGATGAGCCAGGGGCACGTCCCATCAAGGTGCCCTCCACCTGCCAACTGCCACTGCACGCTCACCAATGATTTCTAGAGAACGGCTGGTTTGCCGCCAATATTTGCAATGTCTTGGATGAGAGTCAGCAGTAAAGGAAATGCGACTGGATTTCCCAAGATGCGAATAAAAGGCGCAGAGTTGACTTATCAGTATTGTCCATGTCTCTCAAAGCACAGTGTTTGGTTGAAATGGACTGCACTGTGTAAGGTAACCAAGACTTTCAGTTGTGATGGGAACCCAACTTTGAAGATGGGCTGGTAGCTACTGTAAACCTAGGTGGTAGGTCCGTTCGTTATGGCCTGGATCTGAGGTCATTTTATTACGAATTCAATATCGAGGTGCAGGATGAACGGTCCCCTTGCACTGGCAGGAAATCTCGAATCCGCGGCGAGAAATAGGGGCAGGCGTGTTTCGTCTGGTTTTGGTTTTTGGTAAACCATGCCGTCTGGCTTGATTGGGAAGATTTCATGCGACCTCTATATCTGAAGAGAGCTATCGCCCACGACCGCGGAGATAAGCGCTGGGCGTTTAACTGCCCACTGCGTTTGGGCTGCTACCGCCACGCTACAGCCGTCCTCCCTTGATGATCTCATCCCTGGCCTCCAAGAGCCGAGTCGTTCCCGGCCTCCACTGCACATCAAGGAGTTTCCTGGGTAGCTTCCGCCCCCGCGCCGCCCCGCTGCCGGGGAAGCGAACGCCGAACCCACGTGCGTCAAGCCCGGGATGCTATTCCCGACCGACCTGAAGCTTTGAAGAATAAAAAAGTGAGATACTACATAGAACAGAGACTTGAACTGTAGTTGGAGACAGGGGACAGTGTACGTTACACATCATCAATATCAGGGATTTCTGAGAATGATATTACAGAGCTTAAAAATCATTGGGATGCGGCACCAGTGTGTGGATCTGAAATGGAAAGTATTCTTCGTTAACCAGCAATTTTAAAGGATGCCGGGATTTTGCGTTGGAATCGAGGGAATATAAATTCAAAGCAGCATGTATTCAAGATTGTGCGTTGGCTACTGGGCGAGAACAGTTAAAGTTGAATCCCAAGTCTTACATCACTGGACCTTGAAGCACGGACCACCTACATACTCTGCACGATTACAGGCGAGGCTGAACGCGTCGTGGTGCCACAGTTGGGGCGTGCGTTGCTCCAAAAAAACCAATCTTCCTGGCTTCGCAGCAGTGTCAGCCTTCCCGTCTGTGTCGCCGGCAACTTTTGGCAGCAGGCAGCCAGAACCTTTGAGATCCCCACCACTCGCTGGACAACTTGCGCCGGCCACTCCTTTCCCTTTTCTTTTGCTTTCTTTCCTTCTACACCACACGCCCGCGCCCAATTGCCAGCGGCGCTTCCCACTATCGCAAGTGACCGCTTTTTGGCCAAGCAACAAAACGCGCCAACTTACTCCGTAATACTGCTGCAGACCGACCTTCAGTTTGCGCGATCCCAACCACGAAAATGAGCAACGACTTGCGCAACTTGATCGATGGCGAGGCCGAGCTCGATGACGAGGATGATGATGCCTCCTTTGATGAGGAGGCCGGCGAGGGCCGTAGGGACAAGCCCTTAATCGATGATTCCAGCGAGGAAGAAGATGATGACGATGATGAGGAAGAAGCTAGAAGAGTATGCTCCACCTTCACCATGCGCCCACCATCCCTAGTTTCTGTTGCTAATTCATCTTTGACGTGCCTAGATTCGAGAAGGCTTCATTGTCGATGAGGACGAGGAGGAAGAGGAGGACGAAGATGTCGAAGAGCGACGCAACAGAAAGAGGCGTCGGAGAGCCGAAAGAGAAGAAGAGCAACTCGATGAAGAAGATCTCGATCTCATCGGTGAAGCAAACCCAGACTGGGGACGCAAGGCACAGCCCCAGGTACGCTCAGCCAGTTGATCATACCAACATTCATCATGTGCTAACACCATGTCCAGCAAAACAAGTTCAAGCGGCTGAAGCGCGGCCATCGCGATGAGGATCGTGGCTCCGAACGCCGCGGCCTGGCCGAGATCTTTTCCGACGATGACGAAGAAATGGCCGACGACCGAGCCTATGGCCGCCAGAGCCACCGCCAAGCCGACGAGTTCGATGACTTCATCGAGGAAGACTACCCCGAAGATGATGAGGAGCGCATCCAACGCCAGGAGGATATGGAAGTTGCCCGGCCGAGAGATAAGGGTCTCACCGTCGATACGACTGGTCTGGATAAGGAGGCGCTTGACGACATGGAAGCTATTTTCGGAAATGGCGAAGACTACGACTGGGCTCTGCAGATGGAGGAAGAAGAGGAGGAGCGCGAACGTGAAGAGCAGCAGATCGAGCTCAAGGATGTTTTTGAGCCGTCGCAACTCAAGGAGAAGCTCCTTACCGACGAGGACAACGAGATTCGCGTCAACGACGACCCAGAGCGTTTCCAACTGGATCGCAAGCCTTTCCAACATCAGCAAACTTCGGCCGAAGGGTTCAAGGAGGAGGCCAGATGGATTACCAACCTCATCTTGCCACACAAGCGCCTTTCAAGTGATCTTCACGGACCTTTGACCAAGGCTGTGTGCCAGGTACTCGAGTTCTTCGTCATCGACGCCTATGAAGTGCCCTTTGTTTTTCAGCAACGCCGAGACTACCTCATTCATGCCAAGAAGTCACGAAACTTGGATCGTGATGATCCGGATGCTCCCGCATTCAACATTGATGCCGAAAAGTTGCTTAACCAGGATGATCTCTGGCGCATTCTTGAGCTGGATATCAAGTTCCGGTCCCTGGTTGAGAAGAGAACAGTGCTCGAGAAATCATACAACAGCTTGAAAGAGAAGCTCAACATCCAGGACGACATCATCGAAAGCATGACTCGTGCGGCCGAAACGACAGAAGAGTTGCAGGATCTACAGGATTACTTCAACTTCCGGTACTCTGCCGAAATCAAGCAGGCTGCTGCCATGGCCGCTCAGGAGGAGGGTCACCAGACCGAACAGCTCAAGCGTCCGGGCACCAAGACAGCCCTCTTTGAGCGCATCAGGAAGTCCAAGGCCTACGAGTTCGTGCAGGCGCTCGGCATCTCGCCTGATCAACTTGCCAGAAACGCGCTACAAGACGGAAGGAGGGTTTCATCTGATGACAATCCCCAGGACCCCATCTCGCTCGCGGATAGCTTAGTGGACAACTTTTTCTACACGGCCGAACAGGTCACCAACGCGGCCCGTCAGATGTACGCAGAAGAGCTCTTCGTCAGCCCCCGGATGCGCAAATTCTTCCGTAAAAACTACTACGGCACTGGCATTGTGAACTGCCGTCGCACAGAAAAAGGTCTCAGGAAGATCGACGAGTCTCATCCATATTACGAGATCAAGTATCTTGTCAACTACAGCATCATGGATTTCGTGGATCGGCCCGAGGTGTTCTTGAAGATGATGAAGGCAGAAGAAGAAGGCCTGGTGGAAATTCGCGTCGAGCTCAGCAACGAGCGTAGCTTTAGGAAGAATCTTTACCAAGATTTCGTATCCGACAACTTCAGCTCGCTGGCTGATGCGTGGAATGGGGAGAGAGAAAAAGTGCTCGACATGGCCATTAACCGTCTCCACAAGGTGATTGAGAAGGGTGTCAAGGAATCCATACGGACTGCGTGCCAGGAACGGCTTCTCCAAGCCTGCCGTGAGGAGTATTCTAAGCGTCTCGATCAAGCCCCGATCAAGCCCAAGGGCATGGTTCTCGGCACAGTACCTCGAGTGCTTGTTCTCACCAACGGCATGGGCGACCCCGGCCGCGACCCTATCTACTGGGCGTGTATGGACGAGCATGGCAAGGTGAATGAGTATGGCACCTTTAACAACCTGGCTCGGGATGAGAACCAACGCGAGGAGTTTGCTTCGCTTTGCGTACGGAAGGAGTTTGACATGGTCGGTATTTGTGGCTTTTCGGCAGACACACAACGACTCATCAAAGACGTCGAGGGCCTCATCAGCGACAAGGGTCTTATGGGCCCTCCCTACCCTGACCCGAAAACTGACGAGAGTCGTGTCGATCTCTTGGACGTTGTTGTCGTCAACGATGAGGTTGCGCGCCTGTACAAGGACAGCCCTCGGGGCGTCACAGACCACCCCACGTTGAATCCTCTTACTCGCTACTGTATCGCTTTGGCTCGGTACATGCAAAATCCGCTGAAGGAATATGCCGCTCTTGGCAAGGATGTGATCTCGTTGTCGATCCACCCATACCAGCAATATCTCCCGCAAGACAAGCTCCTCAAGCAGTTGGAGACGGCGATGGTTGATATGGTCAACCTTATCGGTGTTGAAATCAACGAAGCTATGAAGGATCCATATACCGCAAACTTGCTTCCCTATATCGCTGGTCTTGGCCCTCGCAAGGCGCAGCTTTTGATCAAGGGAATCAATGCCAACGGCGGTGTCGTCAATGCTCGTGACGAACTGGTTGGTGATTTCTCTCGCCACAAGATCCCAGTGCTGGGCCCAAGAGTGTGGAACAATGCCGCAAGCTTCCTCTACATCGAATACGACTCTACCCATCCTGACTCGGATCCACTGGATAACACACGTATCCATCCCGAGGACTACGACCTGGCTCGCAAGGTCGCCGCCGATGCCTTGGGTCTCGACGAAGAGGATGTCAAGGCCGAGACGGACCTTAATGGACCAGCCGCTATCGTTCGCAAACTCTTCAATGATGATGTCCAAGAAAAGGTGAATGAGCTGATCCTCGAGGAGTACGCCGAGCAGTTGGAGCGCGAGTACTCGCAACGGAAGCGCGCCACGCTTGAGGCTATCAGGGCAGAGCTGCAAGTGCCGTTTGAAGAGCTTCGCAAGAACTTTGTAACTCTTACTGGCGACCAGATCTTCACCATGTTCACCGGTGAGACAAGGGAGTCGCTTTGCGAGGGTATGATTGTGCCAGTCAATGTCCGCGTTGTGAAGGACGACTTCGCTATCGTCAAGCTCGACTGCGGCATCGAAGGCAGAATTGAGGCTCATGAAACCTCGCACCGCCACTCCGTCAAGGATGTTTTGAGCGTGGGCCAGACGGTTCAAGCCAAGCTCATCGACGTCAACCGCAAGGACATGACCTGCAAGCTCACCATGCGGGAAGAGGAGATGCGCAGACCTTATCGCAAGAACTATGATCACGGCCGGGATCAATGGGATTATAGACTGGAAGATGCCGACCGTGAGGAGCTGCGCGAGAAGGACAGGGTGACGGGACGCACTCAGAGGGTCATCAAGCACCCGCTTTTCAAGCCTTTCAACAGCACCCAGGCCGAGGAATATCTCGGCGGGCAACCCCCCGGAGAGGTTGTCATTCGGCCATCGTCCAAGGGTAATGACCACCTTACCATCACGTGGAAGGTGGCCGACGGTGTCCACCAGCATATTGACGTGCTGGAGCTCCAAAAGGACAATGAGTTCTCTGTGGGCAAGGTCCTCAAGGTCGGGAGCAAGTACACATACACCGATCTGGACGAGTTGATTGTCGACCACGTCAAGGCCATGGCGAAGAAGGTCGATGAGCTGATGCAGCATGAGAAGTTCCAGAAGGGATCGCGTGCCGATCTTGGTAAGTTCTTCCTCCCAACATACTGTTCTGGCCACTGATGGATCACTAACACGTCAAAACAGAAAAATGGCTCACAACATATATCGATGCCAATCCAACTCGTTCCACCTACGCCTTCTGCATCGACAAGAAGCACCCGGGCTATTTCCACCTGTGCTTCAAGGCGTCCAAGAATTCCAAAGTCAACGGATGGGTGGTCCGTGTCGTACCCCATGCTTACGAGCTGATGAAGAACGCCTACCCGGATATGAGAGCTCTCACGAACGGGTTCAAGCTCCGGTATCAAAGCGAGATGCTGAAGATGCAGCAGGGTGGCGGTGGAGGAGGGGGCCAGAGACGCTAGTAGTGTCTACGTCGATGGTTCTGTTTTTCGACGAGTTTGGGGTTGTTATCAATTTTATGTATTCTCACTTGCCTCTTATCTTTTCAAGGGGCGAGCAACAAAAGAAAAATCATGGATTTCAGGCTGGTTTTGGTTTGGCATGCAAGGCGGGCGGTGAATTGAGGAAAGGGGGTCCTAAGCGAACGAAAAACCAGAAAGTAGAGTTTAGTAGATAAATGTTTGATGGGGGGAGGGCGCATATAGGGGACAGTGCCATGAAATTGTAGTTTGATAGTGTTGTTAATGAAAAGCAGTCACCTAATGCATATGTTGTTCGTGGCCTGAAGGGAGATGGCATTGGGGCTGGAGGCCACATAGCTACTACAAAGGAACAGTTCGCCGAAGAGATCACCTTGTGTGGCAGTTTCACCAAGTCTCACCAAAGAAGCGAAGCTCTCATGTTATGGACAGAATAATGGGTACTGCAAGGTAGTCATACGCATAATCACTATCAAACTACCAACTTACACCTTTTTCAAAAGTAGATAGGCCTCTTAGTATTCTTTTTATGCCTATTAGCTATCTTTTAAGGTATATCAATTTTTTTGAGGCCTATCAACTATCTTTTGAGGCCTATTAACGATCTTTCGACGCATGGTTGAAGACTTATGCAGCGCTGGTGATTTTGTCCACAGTGTGGCTCTGAAGCATTAATCAGAACCATTGAATGCAACCCTAACCCCTAACCATTCATCTGCACCATGGGTACGTCACCGCCAAGACTTTTGACCACAAGGGTTCACGTCGCTTTGAGGACCCCTCTTCAGGGAGCTCCAGCTCAACAGAAACGGCACAGCTCTGGACCCCCCCCATTCCTTCTCTGTCTCTGTACACATCTACTACCTCACATCAGTCCCGCATTCATCACCGCATATTCTCAAAATGCCTATCCCAGAACCTGATCTAGCTACCCGAGCTCCCGAGAGCGACGCTGCCGAAGACCAGCAAGACTCTCCAGCTCTTTCTGCCATTGCCGCTCCAACTCCTCCTCCGGAGCAACCACAACTATGCGACAACTGCGTATCTGACAGACCAACTCCAGCTGGCAGTGGAGCGCCACAAGGAGAGCTCACTACTCTCGGCGGGATAGATGTACAGCGTCCTTAGACCCTCACCCCTACCAACCGGAACTAACTCTGCCCTCCTGCCAGGTCTACATAACCAAACCCCCATCCTACCCCTCCACCCCAGCCCGGCTACTCCTCCTCTTAACAGGCGGCACCGGTCTCAAGTCAACCAACAACCAGCTCCAGGCCGACCTCTTCTCCATCGAGGGCAACTACGTCGTCGTCATGCCAGATCTCTTCTCTGGCGACCCGGCGCCAAATTCCCAGGTCAAGGAAGACGACCCCGACATCCAAGCCGGTGATGGGGGAGGCTTCTTAGGGATGTTTAAACTCAAGGCTGTGGAGACGGCCAAGAGCTTCATGATTGACATGTGGCTTGCGCGACACACAGAAGACAAGATCCTACCCATCATCCACAAGGTTCTGGACGCGGCAAAGGAGGAGTTTGCGGATGCGGTTGGGAATGGTGGGGGGGTGTATGCGGTGGGGTATTGCATAGGGGGACGGTATGTCCTGTTGCTGGGGCAACAGAGGGAGAAAAGGGGGGAGGATGTGGAGCAGGGGGATGTCAAGGAGGGACCGTGGATCAAGGCGGGTGCGGTGGCGCATGCGACGATGGTGTCGAGGCAGGATTTTGTGGGGTTGAAGGCGCCGGTTAGCTTGGTCAATGTGGAGAGCGATCCTATGTTTCCTGATGAGGTGAGGGTTGCTGGGGAGGATGAGATGAGGAAGGGGGGGGTGGAGCATGAGGTGAAGGTTTATCCTGGGGTTCCGCATGGTGAGATTTCTTTCAATCAGGGGGGTGGTGAAAGAGAGAGTTGGCTAACGTGATGATAGGTTTTGCTGTTGTGGGGGAGTATGAGGATGGGAATATCAAGGAGGCGCAGAAGACGGCGTATGGACAGATGTTGAAGTGGTTACAGGATCATTGATGGGGGAAGGGTGTGGACTGCTGGTTAGGATCGGGCGTCGTGGGCACTTTTTTCTCTCGTTTTCGAAATACCTATGGAATGGGCAGAGCAATGGCATCATGCAGGCAGGTTCAGTGTTTGGGTGGCTTATTGCTCTTGTTGTTAGTGTTATTCGTCCCAAATTGACAGCTCAAACAGAACCAAAGTGTCACTACTTTTCTTCACAAAATGACATGTGAAAGAATATAATTGCTGTTGTGGACGTGGACCGGCGTAGAATGATTGGCGTAGGCGAACCTCAAGTAATAGAATGGGCGCGGAAGAACCCCCAAGCACAGCCATGCACGTCCCGAATTTTTAGGACCAGTCGCCATCTGCTATGTACTTTCATTTCCCCCCCAAACAGGTTGCGATGAACAGTATAACATGAAAAGCACATCAAATTTTGCTTCGAGCCAAGCCTATGGAGATCATGGCGTCCCTCGCCCAGGCAGGCTATGGACTCGAAACCGTTGAGGGAGAGAATTGTCATAGTGGTCAACGTCATCTGTAAAGGCACCACGGGGAGCCAAAAGAGGTAATCGGCCACGGGGCGGGAGCAGACATTGTAGGCGCCGCCCGGCTCATATGGTCACCTTTCTGGCGGTGGGTGTTGTCAAGTGAGACACCAGGCAAACTGCGGGGCAGAGAAGCGATTCTTCAGTCTGCCCGGGCAAGGAGTTCGGGCACTGCTAGTTGTCATGATATAGGACTATCAGATCGGCTTTCTAAACCCTTGCCGGCTCTGCAGAAGTAGGGTCTATAGCCCGGAACCCCGTGGGGATATGATCGAGGCTCTAACAGCAGTTCGCAAGATAAACCAAACTCCAAGTTGTAGGATCTCCATACAAGCAACTGACACCTTCCTGGGAGATTTCTCGCGTTCTTAATGTTGCGGAAGTAACAGGGCAGACAATGCGGCTTCGGCTGCTTGGTCTGGCTTGGGGCGGGAGTGGGAAAGGGGGGGGGGGGACGGGAGCTGGAGAGAGGTTGAACAGCCTGGCGCGTAAGCCATATGCCCAGCATACACGTTGAAACAGCCCACCATTATAAGCTCTCTAGACGCTGGTTTGTTTCTTGATCTTCCTTTCTCAAGTACTTCCTTTTCCCCCCTCTCTCTTCCAATTTTGACACATCATCACACTCGTTTCCTGCCCAACTTTTGCACCTAACACCTTCCCAAATGGACGTTATCCTGTACCTAGCCGGCTTTAGAACTCGGAGGCATCGAAGGCAGCAGCCTCATTCCGACGCTCACAGAGCAGATTCCATGCGCCGTAGACTTCCGACCAACAATCGCACAGAACCGGCGATACAGCTTGTGGCGCCTAACAATGAAGAAGCCAATCATACAATTGAAGAAGCACGCGATGTAGATTTGCCCGATACACCTAACGCTGGCGTACCTGAGGCGAACAGCAGCACATCTCTGGAGATTAAACTGAACGACCTCATCGAACTCGTTACCTCGCTCACCGCCTCAATCGTGACCAGGCCCGAAAACATAGGCTTTGCCCATTCATCAACTGGTTTGGTTATCAACACCTCGACGACGGAGCGAGCCATTAATGAGCATCAGCCAACCGATGGTCTCGTTGAAGCAACCGCGGCACCTCAACAAGTCAACAACCCAAACACCCCTGGTCAAATCCCGCCCGTGGCTGGCCAAGGCTCGAGTCTTAAGGAACAGATGGACAGTCTTGCGGTCATTGTCACCTTCTTGGTCCTCATGTTAGCCGAGAGAGCCCAAGCCCCCGTCCCGCCCGAGGCACCCGCCGCCGGTCCTGTTGAAGCCTCAGCACAGGAGAAAACCATGCCTCCATGCAGTCAAGACCGCACCGAAACAGCCCAGACATCACCGCAAGCCGATAAAACTAGCACTGACAGTGCCAGCACGAGCACCAAAAGCACGCAGCTGCCGTACACGCTCGACGAGCCCCGAAGAGCATCAACTGAACCGCCTCTCCAAGCGACAAAAATCAAACTCCCAATGTCAGATCAGCACCAACAGAGCAAGAAGAAGCACAACACCGCATCGGTTTTTATTTTGCTCGGCCTCACAGATTTACTGGTCTATTTCTCGTCGGTCAGGGTCGTTGTGGAATGCCTGGTCTTTCCCGTGATCCTGTTTGCGCTTTACCTCTGCTTTGGCAAGTCCGCCTGCTTTTGCTCGTGGACCTGGAGACCGCGCATTCGGAAAGAACAGGTCAAGGCGGCTTGGGCTCAGTTGACCGGTGGCGGGGTTGGCGTGGGCCTGGAGACAGGCAATGAGGAAAGAAAAGCTCGAGGCGGTTAGTTTGGTCTCAGTTGAACGGCACTTGAGAGCGACTCTAGAACAGGACGATAGCCCCATCGGGTATGGAGGTTTCATCCTGAGTTTGTTTCGGCATTGCGGGCTAAGAGAAAGTCTGGATTTCCTTTTCACTGTTGGATGGGGGATAGATTGACATGTTAATGATGTTTTATGACAGCTTGGTGTGGATAGATATGATCATCGGGATGGGATTCCCTCATTTGTTTCCTTTTTCATCAAAACGGTCAAAACTGTAAGTTGGACCCAACTCGTTTCCTGTTTCTCACACTTTTCTGGGGAGCAATCCTCATTCTTATCTCTTTTTCCCAGACAGAAAAGGTGGCTCCATTGTTTACAGAGCCTAGCCAAGTCTGGGATGACGTGTATATACTTTTCTTCCATCCTATCTATGGAGCTTGGGCGGTTGGCGGGGGGAGGGTACGTTTTTGTATCATATCAACCAGACGGCAGCGGCCACGAAGCGCGAAGACGAAAACCGTTTCCGGGTTCGTGGACGATAGATGATGGGAAGATGTGATATGGTCTAAATGAAACTAGGGGAGCTGGGACAAGATAAGAATAGGATGGAAGACAATAATGATGGTTGTGCCGACTTTGACTATCTTTCAAGACCTCTTAACTATCTTTTAAGGCTTATTAAATGTTTTTTAACGTTTAATAGTCATTATTCGTAATATAGTTAAACTCTATGTAAATGGGGGCGGGGGCTTGGTCAGATAAACAGGGGGCTCCGTAAAGGTTCTCTCTTCACTTACCCCAAACGAAACCACAAAGGGACCAGTTGCTTGACTCTTCTGGTATTTTGCACCCAATAACAGCGAAATTCCAAATTACTCGCGGAACTCAAGCTCCGCGACATCCTGGTATGTGTAGCAGCTTTAGAATTGTCTTCTTCCAAAACCCGCTGATACCAAGAACCTTCAGTCTCTGCTTTGCCTAAATGGCCCCTTCGCATGTGCCCGACGATACCTATCATGAGGGAGCGGTGCTTGAGATTCAACGACATCTACCACCGGAACCATTTGGCATTGTGGGACGCATTCACTATAAACTCCTGGAGAAGAGAAGCGAGTGGAATGCGTTCTGGTCGAGTGCCACCTACTGGTGTCAAAAAAGCCGAGTCGAGCTTGCTTTGGCTCATCCCCCCATCACGACAACCGAAGTCAAGAATCCTGAAAGTCGCAAGTTCACCATCACTCGGATCATTCAGTTCAATGAGCATACGGAAGGTCAAACGGTCTTCGAGGGAGTCATCATATCGGCGAACGGAAAACGCAACGAATTGATCGCTAAAGTTTACGATGGCGCTTATTACTCTCTGGATGAACGCTTCGGCAACTCTTGTGACGCCGCATGCCCGGATGTGATGACGAAAGCGGACCTGCATTATTCCATTGAGTCCTCGCGCATATGAGGAAATCCGCACTGCTGGCTTTGCCGGGTCCGTTGTTCCCGACTTTTACGGGGCATGGACGATCTCGCTCGAGTCGGACAACGGTGTAGTACGCTCTGTCCGCATGATTTTTCTGGAGAAGATACACGGCGCTTGCGCGATGGAAAAGATGATCACGCAGACGACTACGCAGGAGGCACCGCATTCTTCCTTCGACTTAAGTCGGTTCGCTCCGCTAACCCAAGAGTTTCCCAACTCCCAGCACCACAATAAATAGGAACCCTAGGGTACTTTATTTATTGGAACAACCTGGTCGAACCGCTCACCCGACTTGACATAAAAGTCTCAGTGTGTGTGTGTGTGTGTGTTGAGGCGAGCAAATGGAAATTCGAGGGCAAGCAAGCGTTAGTGAGGTTGAGGTATTGGTGCAGGAGACGTATGGTGAATATGAGGAGCTTGGGGCTGGTGAGTATGGTATCTCGTCCCATCCCTGAGGCGGAGATCAACATGCCTATCGACCCAATCTTGTAGTAGATAATCTCGTTTCTAGAGGGCATATCGATCCAACGGGTCCTCCACCTTACCACTGGCCATAAATTGATACAGCTCCCCATACCATTCTAAGCCAAGGTAGGCTTCCCGATTTGCAACAGAGGACGTAAGTCCTGTAAGTAGAGATTCCAACGGACCTCCAATCCCATCAATATCCTTAGCTAGCCTTTCCCCCACCGAACTAAATAAAGTCCCTCCTCCAACAGAGCAGAGTTTAAGGCTGTCCTGCTATGTGGGGTTCAAACTACATGGCCAGGCCTTTTACTATGTTACAGGGAAGGTAAGTAAATCGGTAGATAGGGAGGGGGGCCGCTAGTATGACAAATAGGGAGCTCCGTAAAGATTCTCTCATGCTTATGAGATTGTGCAAATGACCTTCCCCATGGTCTCATTCCCCTCCAACACCTCATGTCCCTTCTGAATCTCCTCCCAAGGCAAAACCCTATCAACAAACACCTTCAGCTCACCCTTCTCAAACTTTGGAAGATACTCCTGCTCCAACCTATCCCTCAGCTTCCCCTGATACTCCTCATCCCTACTCCTCAACGTACTCCCCTCCACCCTCACCCTCTTATACAACAGCTTCCCAATATTAACCCTATCCGGCGTCTGCATGCCCCCCATCAACCCCAGCATCACAAGCCTCCCATCCCTCGCCACCACATCCAGATTCTTCTCAAAGTAACTCCCCCCAACAAAATCAACAATAAGATCCACCCCCTTCCCACCCGTAGCCTCCAAAACCCCCTTCACCCAATCCTCGCTCTTGTAATTAAACCCCTTCGTCGCCCCCAACGTCCCCTCAATGAACTTGATCTTCTCCCCCGTCCCAGCCGTAGCATATATCTCCTTCGCCCCCGACACTCTCGACAGCTGTATCCCCGAAATCGACACCGAGCTCGCCCCAGCATGCCACAGTATCGTCTTCCCCTCCGCACCCCCCAGCACAAAATCCAACGCTTGAAGCGCGGTAATCCACGTCTCTGGTATTCCAGCCGCCTGCTCAAACGACAACCAGTTCGGTTTATGCAAGAGCATCCGGGTAGAGACAGAGATGTACTCCGCATACGCCCCACCATAAGCCAAACCGAAGACCTCGTCTCCCTTCTTGAAGTGCTCGTGTTCCTGGTTTGGCTCGTCTCCACCGAAAGAGACGATCGTGCCGCTGAATTCTACTCCTAGGGTGGACGGTGCCTGGGGAGGGAGGGGGTAGTTCCCTTCTCTTTGGAGGAGATCCATACGGTTGAGGCCAAAGGCCTTGATTCTGACGAGGGCGTGGCCTGCTGGGGGATGGGGGATGGGGGTGGAGGGGTTGATGAAGAGGGCTGAGGCGGGACCTTTGCCGTTTTTGATGTCTGCGGTTGAGGTTAGTGGTTGGTTGAGATGACGGGGGTGGTGATGGTGATGGTGAGGGGGACTTACCGACTGCTTTCATGAGATCAGGCATTTTGTCAGAATTTCAGGCTGAGCGTTTCGATGAGTGACTGAATTGGTGAGTGGCAGGAAAATAAAAACCGATATAAAACACGCTGTTAATAGACACATAAACGCCGTTGATTAGAACGGAAGACGTTGAAAGCGGCGGCTTATAAATGGTGGGGTTTAGACGGATGACGTTATGATATGGCGGGGTATATCCGAGGAAGACATCTGTGATCCGGCCCCATCCAGCAACCACCAACCGGCCGGGTGCCGACATTGTGCAACAGGCAATCAACGTCGAGGGTACCGGCCGGTCTCCGCACACGACGTCTACCGACAGGCTGTCCGGGCACGACCTGATGGTCTGGGACTTGGCATATTGCATGAAAGGAATGTGGTGCAACAACAAGGGAAAGTCGGACACAACAGCCATGTCCGGCAATGAAAGGAACACTTGTTTCGTTGACCATTTTGAGAAAACAAAGCAGCTAGCCAATACATTCAGAGGCCAAAGGATGAAAGCACTCAGAAGCCGTCGTCCTTGATAATCAGCGATTCAGCATCATCCATGCCGTCTGGCAAAGACGGTGTGAGAGCCAGAGTTGAGCAAAACTAAAGTTCAAGATCACCAACACAATATACTATGCTTCGTGTTGTTGTTTGTGTCACGCTCTCTTCGCTATGGGCACCATATGCAGCATCTTGCATAGTGGGTAATAGATGGCGGAAATTACACACACCTATTGGACCTGCATCTGCCAACATGTCCAAGAGTTTGAAGCGGTAAGCGTCAATACATCCGGCATCGGACTGCACATTCCAGCGAGGGTTTTTTTTTTTTCCTTATCTTCTGGACGCGTGTTTGATAGACATGATCAACAGGTGGTGACAGGTTGACAGGAAAGATGACGTCGTCCCGAACATCCGGATCGGGTCGCCGTGGCATCGCGGGACTCGGCCATCAACGGCGGATCATAGGGCCTGGGCAAACTTGGAACATGTGAAGGGAGCTCCACAGTCAGTCGACTGGTTGGGCCGGGTTCCTTCAGGGGGGCTGGAAGAAAAAGTTCCTGTTGTTAGCAAGGAGATGGGCATAACGGGGCCGGCCTTTTAATGAAGCTTCAGGCCCCCATAAAACAATGGGGCCAATCGGCTGGGAGGGAGTCCAGAACAAACACGGCGTTTTCCAGAAATAGCCGGCGCATTTCCTGAACGACCGGGTCGAACCGTGATAAAAAACGAAGTGATGATTTATCAATGCGAGCCACCAATTGACAAATACGCAAAGAGGCAGCAATACGAGACCACCACAGATGACATGTCGATATTTAGCGCCCGGTTGACCTGATTTGGCCGATGCTGGGTGGGGTGGTGGTGATGCGATGGAAGCGGTGAAAACCTGGGAAGAACGGCGGTTGATCTGCCGGAACAACCATGCCCTGAATTCAGGCAGGATCTCGACGCGTTAGCCAGAGTGCGTGATCTTGCCGAGCACCGCTATCGCGCGCTAACATCATCATTGTTGTCACTGATGAGATGGGATGGGATGGATGCAGCATGCAGCAAAGTGCAGGAAGGAGGTGTGGGTGGTGGTAGCGGCCCACCTGCAAGGTACGAACCAAACAGTCGCCTGTGTGCCACCTCATCTGTTCATTTCCGCCGATAGCAAAGGTGCTATTTCCAGGCACGCCCAGAAGCCCCGAAAACACCGGCTTGATATGTATCGCTTCGTTTTGTTCTTGAAGAAGAGCTCCAGCATGTTCCTGGTCGCAAACACGTTCATGGAATATGGCCATGAGACGCGCTGCGAAGAGGCGCGGTGACGACGACTTGCATCGACGGCAAGCTGAAGAGAAACCTCTCATTAAACGGCTGAGAGAGGCCCAGGCGCAACAGGAAATTGGGCTGTTGCTGGCACCTGCCACGATGTGCCATCCATTTCCGAAGAGGCAATTGACAGCCTCCCGTTGGCCGCCACCGCCTGGCCAAGGATCCACACTCCCCTTTTCCACCCTACCCCTGACAAAACCCCCTGCTCGGCTGCTTGATTTGATCCATTTTCGGAGACACGCTATCACAGCGAGAGGATCCTGGATCCGCTGGTTCGCCTGGCTCTCCTGGCAACCCCAAGGAAAAATCGGCTCTCTCTGGGGGGGCAGGCTGGGTTTCCCCGTCCATTTGGCGAGTATCGCTATATAACTCGTGTCCGCTCTCCAAAATGATCCCGTTTCCCTTTTCTCTCTTCACCCACTCGCTCTCTATCAGCCCTGACTTTTAAGTCAAGTACATTCGTTCTTCAACGACAGCGCCTTCACCACCAACTCACCATCCTCTCCAACGTACATACTTTCGAGTATATAATTTAATACCCGACAAATCAGTCAAAATGAAGTTCTCCACTGCCGTCCTTGCCCTCGCCGCCGGCGCCAACGCCTTCAAGAACGTCACCTACACCACCGAGGTCGTCACTGCCATCACCACCTACTGCCCCGAGCCCACCACTGTCGAGTATGGCGGCACCACCTACACCATCACTGAGGTACGATCTTCCAAAGAGAGACGACCGGGAAAGAACCACTGGAGCTTTGTTTCAGAACTGGGACGCTTTCTGGGGAACAACCGAGCTTGATCTCGATCCACCGGTTCTAGAACATCACCGCTAACTCAACCTCACAGGCCACCACTCTGACCATCACCGACTGCCCTTGCACTGTCAAGAAGCCTGTCACTACCATCTCGTCAGTGATCTGCCACGACTGGTGCGTCCCTAACATCGAATTGGGATTCGCCATTCCTGTTGAACGTCCAATGCTAACATTTTCTCCAGCGCCCCTGTTTACCACAACAGCACCGTTGCCCCTGGCCCCACCACCACCCCCGTTGGCACCATCGGCCAGCCCGCCCCCACCCAGCCTCCTCTCGCCACTGCTGGTGCCGGCAAGGCTGCTGCCCTTTCCGGCGGTGCCCTCGCTGGTGTCCTCGGCTTCGTTGCCCTTGCCCTCTAAGTTTTCTGCCTGTCATGACCACATTTTACCCGCTGCGGCTTTCGGGGCTTTGAGAGCTGTCAAGCTCCGGCCCTGGGAAGACCGGCTAGTAATACTTAATCAAGTCTTTTCATGATCTGGGATGGAACATTTTTTTTTAAAAAAGGATACCAATGGCAATGATGTTTCAAGGGAATACAAAGGGGAAGTTCGAGGGGATCTAGGATCCCGGGAAAAGGATGATGGGATGGGATAGAGTTGGAATACCCTCATGATGTGGTTGTGCAAGGGAAACATTTCGCTCCTGCGGAGGACGGTTGTCACCTTGCCAAGTTGTCGAGTCATCATTTTTCTGGCGGGTGTTTTGGGAGATTGGTTTACCCCCTTTCCCCGAGCACAGTCGAGGTTTCTTGAAGCTCACAGCATCTTTTTGGAAAAGTGTTTCGGATCTTACGGACCAAAATATCAACGCTTTTCAGCCTCGCCTCTTCTCTTCTCCTGTGTTATTCTTTCCTACTTTCAATTGTGCTCTGCCTGTACATGCTTTTTCTATCAAGTTGTAAATGTTTGATGGGCACAATGATGGGTTTCTGCCGGGCGTGTTTATGGCTTCTGCTTTGAGGGAGAGGAGGGACACAATAATATCTTTATTTTTCGTGGGTCATGTACATAGTTGTGTATCTTCTCTCTATTGCTCAAAGAGCTAGTTTTGGTCCGGTGGCCTATCCTTTGTACATTTCTCTCGGTTCCTCTTTTTTTTTGTTGCATCTGTGACGGGAGTTTTATGAGATACCATTGATACCTGATGTTTCTACTCGTATTGACTTGATCGATTGACTGAGGTTGAAACCTGGCGAAAAGAGAGACACGGGATCCCGGATTGGGAGTTCAACTCGATGTTGTTTCAATTGATATTTTGTGAACTTCAAGGCAGGGAGAAAGCTGGTTATGCAGGGTGTCACTGTATGCAGCACTGAATCATGATTCGAATCGTGCATTTTTCGGAAACCCTTCCCGTGTTTTTTTTTTTTTTTTTTTTTTTTTTTTTTTTTTTGTATTTCCCTTTTCCCGCAGTTCCCGCCCCCGTGTTGCTGGAACCTGGATGCTGGGACGTGCCGGGTAAAGACATTGTGTTGGTGTTCCAGGTTCCCAATATCGCCTTTTCTTGCCCGCCGGATGGCCTCGGGTGTGTCAACCTTTCAAGACACAAAGTTCTCAATGGCGGTGACAGTGCAACGTTTCATCAACCATGAGGTAGGTTTCGCTGAGAATTGCCAACGGAGAAAAGTCATCAATGACCAATTCAAGTCCCCGGTCCTGAACCAAGCAGTTGCAGTGTGAAGTCCGAATCCTGTAATGCCACCATGATCAACCTCCACCGTTGAAGCTGTCGGCCGTTGACCGCTGCTACCTTGCCACGATTCTGTCGTTCTCAGAATAGGAATGATCATCCCTCTTTTTATTCTAGAATCTCGATGCAGTTTATTACATTTCATAACCATAACCATATCGAAAGGCTTTCGTCTATCTCCATCATCATGTTCCTTCCTAATAAAAATCCCTAGAACAGCTCACCAGGGAAACAATCTCACTCTCTTCAAAAGAGCCGGCGGCACAGCCATCACCTCACCACATCACAACAGCAGAAACCAATGCAAACAATTCCCGCCTGACTCTGCATGAATTGATAGCGTGAGAGAAAAGACGAGATGAGCGTTCTTAGCGCCCAGACCGTCACGAACCAAGCAGATTACGGATGATACGGAGTGAATTACGAGATGATGATAGCTGCACGCCCTAATCTTAGGGGGGGTGTGGAAGAAGGAATGGTAAGCGAGATTTGATTGTTCTGTGCTCACGCACCAGGAGAAAGTCCGGGCACTTGGACTGTGCAGGTGAAGAGGGAAAATGGAAAAATGAAAATAATGAGAGATGATGGATTGGAGAGCAAAAGGAAAGGTTTGCGGTGCTTCGTAAGAGAGATACGATATGATGACAGGAAGGTCGTTGATAAGACGGAAGAAAAGCCTCGGTTGGTTTTATGCAGTGCATAAACTTCACACCAAACACATCCCAAACCACTGACTTTGGTGTAAGACAATTGGCTCTTTTCCCCGCCGTTATCAGCCGCCAAACAGTTCAACGACTCTCTTAAACATGAAGAAAAGATCGCCCCCCCAAAACGGCAGCCATGATGATTCGGCGGCGTTGAACAAATTGCCAATGATCATCGGGTGAGCCACTCGAAGCACATGTTTTTTAAAGTTCAGACCGTCGGCCAGTGGCCAGCCAAGATTTCCTTCCCCATGGGGAACAACGGTCGAGAGCGGGTATCAAAACGCGGGGAAGCGGAGTCTTGACTTACACGATCCTCATATCATTCACGATCGAACAACAAAGCAACCAGTTCCATCTTTCCGTGAGATCCAAGGCACTCGGTATTGTCGAGAAAGTTATCTGGTGATTTTAGCAATGCCATGTAGTTAGGTTGGGTAGCACCAGCTTAGAGAGGGGACAGGGCGACCAATGGTTCGTCGCCTTTAGTTGGGGTCCATTGATTGCCCCGCGCGGCCGATCCCCTTCCCCGGGAGGAAGGGCACGATAGAACTGCATGGCACCTTCATTGTTCGGGAGTCGGGGCAACGGATTATATGCGGGGGAGAACGTGCAGCACCGCGGGTTACAACTCTCTTACCTTCACCACCAGCTTTTAGATATAGAGTTCTTCCATCATATATTCATATCATCATATGTTTCAACATACTTTTACATCTTTATTGTACCACTACTTGTACTTGTGCTCCTCCGATATTTGGTATCTTGTTCCTGTCACCTGTGACATCATCTCATCACACCGCCGACCTCACTCGCCTCGCTCCATCTCAGTATCAAGACAACAAAAATGACCAAAGACCACCCCCAAAACCACACCCAAACACACTCCCTCACCTCCCCCGAAACCTTCTGGTCTCACCAAGCCGATCAACTTCATTGGCACAAGAAACCCGCCACCGTCCTCCAAAAGACAACCAAACAACTCCCTTCTGGTATCTCTCACGACCACTGGGCCTGGTTCCCTGACGGCGAGATCTCCACATGCTACAACTGCATCGATCGTCACGTCCTTGCTGGCAGGGGGGATGCTCCTGCCATCTTGTATGACAGCCCGGTCACGAACAAGAAGGAGACATACACCTATGCCAGGTTACTCGACGAGGTGGAGATCTTTGCGGGTGTGCTGAGAGAGGAGGGGGTGAAGAAGGGGGATGTGGTGCTTGTTTATAGTAAGTATCCAATTCTCTCTTTCGAGGACAGGATTGATACTGACAAAGACTGAAGTGCCCATGATACCTGCTGCCCTGATCGGAATTCTAGCTATCAATCGTCTTGGTGCGATCCATGCCGTTGTGTTTGGCGGTTTTGCTTCTGGGGCACTGGCCCAAAGAATTGAGGCTTCGAAGCCGGTTGCTATCCTGACTGCTTCTTGCGGGATAGAGGGGAATAAGGGGCCGATTGGGTACCAGGGTTTTGTGGAGGACGCGATGAAGATTTCGAGTTGGAGGCCGCCAAAGACTATTATTTGGTAAGTCTCAAGTCGGACTCTAGCATTTCACAGCTGACAATAACACAGGCAAAGAGACGAGCTGCCATGGCGACCCATTGATAGAGCGAATGGCCAACGAAAATGGCAGGCCCTGGTCAAGAGCTGCCGTGCTAGAGGTTGGCGAGCGGCGTGTGTTCCTGTCAAGTCGACAGATGGCGTCTACATCATCTACACCAGTGGCACGACGGGTCTGCCAAAGGGTGTGCTGAGAGAAGCTGGCGGCCATGCCGTCGGTCTGCACCTGATGATCTCGTATCTCTTTGGTGTCCATGGTCCTGGTGATGTGGTAAGTACTCTGTGTCTTTGACATCCTTCATGACTTACTGACACGCATCAGATGGGATGCTACAGCGATATTGGCTGGGTCGTCTCTCACAGCTATACTTTATACGGCCCCCTCTTGACCGGCGCTGCAACCGTCTTATATGAGGGCAAGCCAGTCGGCACCCCTGATGCCTCGGCCTTCTGGCGTCTGGCCGAAGAGTACAAGATCAACACCATGTTCACTGCCCCCACCGCCCTCCGCGCAATCCGCAAAGAAGATCCGGATAACATCCATTTCTCTCGTGTTGGTGAGCGCGGAGGTCTCAAGAACCTTCGAGCACTATTCCTGGCCGGCGAAAGATCAGAACCATTCATCATCACCATGTATCAGGACCTGCTAGCCAAACATGCTGCACCTGGCGCACTGGTGATCGACAACTGGTGGTCATCCGAATCCGGCTCCCCCATCTCGGGCATCGCTCTCGTGCCCCATGCAGGTCATGACAGAGCCAACCCCACCTCCTCTGCCTCACACCCACCGCTGAAGATAAAACCTGGTTCGGCAGGCAAAGCTATGCCTGGATTTGATGTCCGCGTCGTGTCTGACTCTGGTGAACCTCTACCACCAAACACCATGGGCAATATTGTCCTAGGCCTCCCACTTGCCCCTACTGCCTTCAGGACTCTGTGGGGAGATGAGGAAAGGTTCTACAAGGGTTACCTCAAACGCTTCGACGGGAAGTACATAGACACCGGTGACGCAGGTGTCATTGATGAGGATGGCTACATCCATATCATGGCACGCTCAGACGACATCATCAATGTGGCTGCTCATCGGTTGTCCACTGGCCAACTGGAGCAAGCTATCACCACCCACCCTGACGTCACGGAAGCATGTGTGGTTGGCATCCCTGACGCACTGAAGGGGCAGATGCCGTTTGCTTTCATCAGCACTTCCCACGGAGCGGCAACTACAAAAGAGAAGAAGGAGAAACTGTTTCAGGAGATACAGATCCTGGTCAGGAAGCAAGTGGGTGCTATTGCGAGTTTGGGGGGGATGATTGAGGGTAAGGGGATGATTCCCAAGACGAGGTCAGGGAAGACGCTGAGGAGGGTGTTGAAGGAGTTGTTGGAGAATGCGGTGCATGGGGAGGTGGACAAGGAGTTGAATGTTCCCAGTACGGTGGAGGATATGGGGGTTGTGGAGGTGGCGAGGGGGAAGGTGAGGGAGTACTTTGCGGAGTTGGAGAGGAAGGGGGAGAGGCATGCGAGCATTGAGGGGAGGGAGAAGGCGAAGCTTTAGGGGAGTATCTTGCGGTGATGATCGGTGTGATGATGAGAGTGGGGAGTGATGTTATGATAATTACCACGAGGCATGTTAGGCACTTTGTCGCAAATATAGTGGAGTTCCAAGCTGTGAGGGCCACGGTCCTTGGTCGTCATCCACTGACTTTCCTTCTTCATCAATCTGCTAGTAAGCCACCTCCACCAGCGCAATTACAAGACGTTAAGGCAGAGCCCTAATTAACTTCATCCGGACAGCTCGCAAATCAAAGTTATAATTTAATTTACTCAATCTTTTATATCCTCAACATCACGGGTTCAGAAATACCCTATTTTCATCAAGGGACAGGAATACCGCGGCCGCGCATATCTGACCATACCTTCAGTAAGGGAGCGGTACTTAAGATCCATCGACATCTACCACCGGGACCGTTTGGTATGGTGAACAATGTTGGCTACAAACTTCCGGAGAAGAGACGCGTGTGAAGGGCGAGGATAAAAAAGGTCATGATGCAGTGAGCGAGAGCTAGGAATGTAGGACTTGATATTGCCTTTGTATCAGTGCACTATCTCAACTTTTAAGGGGCATGACGGGATGTTATAAATACAATATTGCACACTATAATGTAGAATGTAAGGTCTTGAAAGATAGTAATAACTCCTCTCGGCTATCTTGAAATGCCTTTTGACTATTTTGAAGTGTCTCTTGACTATATTTGTAGGGATAGTAGCTATTTTTGGAGGCCTATAGACCATCTTTGATGGTCTATAGAGTATCTTTGAAGGCCCATGGATTGCCTTTTAGGGCCTGTCAGGGGCTGTCGTCAAAGATGGTAATCACCATTCTTTTATCATCAACGCCTACCTTAATAACCCTTACGTCTCTCACTTTAGGTATGTGGCCACTGGTAAGGTTAACATCACACGGCTACACCAGGGGCCAGCCATACCCCTTCTCTGGAGGGGGTTTCACCAAAGTCACACTCCCAGTCATTCCTCGCCGTTTCTTTTCAACCACCGGCAGGCAACCTACCTCACTGCCTACAAGTCAACCGTCACCAGTCAAAGGCTAACCACCAGTCAAGCAGGTAAGCAACAAAGCTGTGCACCAGATTTTGCCTTTCATCTCGATATTGTCAGCTCACACACACACACACACACACAAACACACAAGATCTTGGCACACTTCCAGCGACAGTAGCCACCACAGTCCCTCATCCGGACGACGGACAAAACAGCAGCAGTAGCACGCTTGTGACTTTGGGGCGAGGTAGCATTTTTGCACTTCTTTTTCGGCCCGGATCTGCGTTGTGCTACACCCAGCGTCTAGATCTCGGAAGCCCCCAGTGTGTATGTGTGCGCGTGTGTTCATGTCTACGATTCGCGCGCGTCATTGATGCGGGTGGGTGGTATGTCAATCTTGAAGAGAATCATGATCTGACTTGTTATTTTAGAGAGAAAAAATATCAACAATAGTTTGAGGGAAAATGGTTGGGCATCAAGATACGCCGCGGGAAGCCGCGTCTTTCTCCCCGGGCTGTTCCCTGCAGACAAGACAGGAGGGAAGAGAATCAAAACTTGAAGTGTGTGTGTGTGTGTGTGTGTGTTCAAGTCCACGGCGTCGACCTATCTCACCACGCTAGTCTTGCTCAACAAGCTGCTAATGCATGATCTACCTGACCACGCATACACACAGGAAACTGCGCAGTGGTGTTCCCGGTGGCGGCAGTGGAGGGTGTGTATGTGTGTGTGTGTGTGAGAGAGAGAGAGAGGTGTCTAGTACGGTGGTATGACAGCCAGACCACCAGATGGGAGTTACACCAAAGGGACGGATCATGTCCGGGAATGGGGGGCGGGGAGTCTGGACTCGAGAAGCAAAGCAAAACACCTCTCTGCTTTTTTCTCAGCTAATTCTCTTTTGTCTCTTTTTTTTTCACCAAGTCTTGTCATGGTAGTAGCTGAGAGCTGTCTAGTACACACACACCCCTATTCCTACCCCTATGATCTCTTCCACCTGCCCCCGCCCAAAGAGAAAATTGGCCACCCGGACACCCGACTCGATATTAAACTCGTCTTTTTACCGCCCCGAAACCACGTAAGATCCACCCCCTTTTCCTCCTCCAATCCCCCCATCACGAGGCTTGGCGCCGCTGGTGGAAGGGAAGAAAGTGACGAGTTCGTTTTGTACGACACGGGGCAAAGAACCTGGCGATGATGGACCGATAATATACCAATCCTTCTGTAGCACCAAACCCTTACCTCAGCAAAAAGAACTTCATTGGAAGAGATCGATCCTGCGGAAGGGAGGGGAGGGTGGGGGGGGAGGCAAAGAAACACTGGTTTGGTCAAACAGGAAAGAAAGAGATACACAGAAGTGACGGACGGGTATACGGTGGTGGTAAAAAGAAGCTAGGAAATCGAGTGAGACATTCCACACTACTCCGTATACACAGTGACACACGGTAAGAAGAAAAGAGGAAAGAAAAAGGTGGCTTGTGATGAGACAGCCCGTTGTTCCGTTTTCTCCGACGATTTCTTCTTCTGGGGGCTTTTCTGATGGTGATAAAACGGACACAAGGCGCTGTCCGACAGATGGATTTGCTTCGGTGTTCTTTTCCTTCCATCGTGTGCCCTTTGTGTGCGAGATCTGAGAATAAAAAGAACGGGACATCGGGACACAGAGGTGACGTGAGAGACAGGCTGGTTATGGAGATAGCCGGTGTACTAAATAGACATTTCCGTGGCCTTGGATCGAGAGCTGTTCAACAAGGCCACTTTTTAAGTTGAAAATGCAAAAACTGCCAAAAGCAATGCTGTCAATAGTAAGTATTTTCAACAACTAAACCGCCCCATAACCACACACATCCCACCCAGCCAGCACCTGATATCCTTCTTGACCCAGCATCCATCCTCTCCATATCGCCATCCAAGTCATGCGTCACACATACACACACACACTCACACACACACACACAAAAAAAAACCCACAAACACACGCCCCAAAAATATGCCCCTTCCCCCGAATGACGACCACTGTTGTTGGCGCCTCACTCCCTTTCCGCCTCGTCCCACCACAACTTAATATATCCACGGCGAACATGTCCCTCCCCAATTCCTACACTTTCCCCAACCCAAAGTCTAGCTAGCGCGTGAGTGGCAGCGCAAAAGCAAAACAAGCGCGCCCGCGCGCCACCCCACCGGCCCTTCTCGACGGGGCTCGCAACGGGTAACTGCACCCTCACAGCACAGAGAGAGAAAAGAGCTGGCCACCGGTGGGGTGGTGAGCTAAGAAATCTGCATGTTTCCGTTGGGTAGACACAGTAGTCTGGGGGAGGAGCCAAGTACTGTGCTCTTGGAGTTGCCACTTCACATCTTCAGCCAGCCGACCGTCATTCGGGGTTCCCCAGCCCTTCCTTTTAGGATTCCGTCGGCTCGGGGCTGTATGGGTCGTCGTTCCAGAAGGAAAGCAGCTATTTCCAACCCCTCCCCCCATCTCAAGGTATACCACATTTTACAGTAGACAAGAGGGTTGCGTTTACTGTGTACTTGTTTGTGCTGCTGCTGTCTTTGCAAAGAGCCCACCCCAAGACCCGCCCTGTCGTTCATTGACTGTGCTCTCTACAAATCTCCCCTCTGGCTGGCGCTTTCCTGCCTTGATGCTTTCCATGACCCAGTCAACGCTGACGAATTTGACGCCTCGGCCTCGGATGGTCTTGATCTCTTTTTGTAGCTTTTGAGCAGCGAGTCCACCGCCGGCAAAGCTGGATTTCCCCAAGATGACATGTGTGACTTGTTTCTTTGCTAGGTGGAGAGCGACGCTCGCGCCGTTGGTGGCAAGGAGGTGCTTGAGCATGTGGTCTGAGATGGCTGGGTAAGTGGAGCCGTTGATGTAGATGACGAGGTTGTCGAAGATACCCTTTTCAGGGGAGGCTGGTGCGGATGGTGACTTGGTAGGGGAGTCTCGTGATTGGGGTTTGACGGTGGGTGGTGATAAGTTTGCGGGTGGGTGGTATATTGCTGTGGAGGATGACTTGCTGTTGCGAGTAGCCTTTGGCGAGGCAAAGAAGCGAGGCTTTCCGGTAGGTCTTGGGTCCTCTTCGACTACTTCCTCCTCGTCATCGAGCTCTGGAAGTGTAAAGAATCTCGACGTATGTGAGGTTTCCCGTTCTTCTTGCTCTAATCGAGCAATCGCAGCTCTTTCTTCTGGAGTTAATCCAACCTCTTCATTTTCGTGATCGTTCCCTTCTGTGGTGGGTATTGGCCTTTGCTTCAAGAGTAGCAGTTGAGCTTCTTGCTCCTCTGCTTCCATCCTCGCAAAAATCTCTCTTTCTTCCGCTGTTAGCCCATCCTCACCCTCCTCATGTTGTTGTGGTGGTACTGATGCCGGTGGCTTTGCTGGTATTGGCGGCTTCTTCTCCCTCATTTCATGTTCCTCCTCCGCTTTCCGCTTTTTATTTGGATTCCTCAACATTTCCAGCACACTCTTCCTTTCCCCTGTCGCCAGTTCCCTCACCTCCTTTGGTATGTATAACCCCAGCTTCTCATCATACTCGTTCGACCCGCAGCCCACTGTGTCACTCATAAACTCATCACCTCCGCCGTTCCCCCCCTTGAACTGGTAGTTCATCTTTTTGAACCGTGACACCCTCCATCCTTGCGGACCGCGCGTTTCGGCACGCTGGTGGCCTGTCGATGATGAGTTCCAAGGGTCGAAGCGCTGGAGATTCGGTTCTGTTGGGCCTTTTGGTTTTGCCGGGGGTGCCAGTGGTATCTTTCGTGGTCGTCCTCGAGGCATAATTTATTGCTTTTTCCTGCCTTCCTTGTTTGGATTTGCCGGGGGTAGTGATTGGTCAACCTGGTTGAAGCAAACGGATGGGTGCTGATGATGTTAATTTTGATGCAAAGAAGCAGTTATTATTTGCCATGTGAGGTAGTGATAAAATAACGTGCGAAAATAAGCAAGTAGGCAGAAATGAAGAAGCCAACAAAGACAACTCTGAAACACACAGAACACGCTCTCTGCGCGCAAGTCGCGTCGGTCGGCACCTAGCAACACCAACTCGAGCTCCATTATCGCAGGTCTGCGGCACGAAATCACGTGATACCCCTCCACAAATCTGCTCTTAGCATTCATTCTCAGCCTCTCCAATGTCATCCATCGGGGAGTTTGCGCCTTTTTCCACTGACCACCCATCGATGTCTAGACTGGCGTGATGATAACAGTGTAACATCCCCTATTCCCCGAGCGAAGCTCCCCTAAATAGCCTAGCAATTAACCTACCTGTCACACCCAACAGAGTCACATCAGGCATACTCGCCTCTGTCTTTCACAGTGAAAACACTCCACACTTCGGTTTCGGTCTCTTTGCTCATCGCCATCAGAGAGCCATTCTTTCACCTTTCAGGAACTGGTTCCTAAAGGGCAGTGCGCTCTACCCATCTATCTGGAACATCTCCATGGTAGCGATCTGTCACCCCCCTTTTTACCCTCAAGCGATCCGAGCTGAAGTCCTTCTTCTCTCCTCTCCACGAAATCTAATTCCATCATTCGGTTTAGCTAAACTCCCTAGCGAATTTCTGCAAGGGAGATCTTATCACCCTCCTCTGCTGCATAAGACATGTTTCCCGTGCGCCATGTTCTTCAAAGTTCTAGGTTACCTTGACTCAAAACTCAGGTAGCGAAGTGTGATATGTGATATCCCCCTTATTTACCCCCTATTATACCCAGGATTATATCCCGTCCCAGCAGCCCGTCCCCCCACGAGGACGCGGGGTTCTGTTTCTCCCTTGAATGCATTTTGGTTCAAGTTTCCAAAACGGCAGGGTTTGTTGTTTAGTCTGGTTCATTATTCTTGAACACTAAATACACCTGTCATATATGTGATGTTAAACACACCCATGGCATGAATGATCTCCATATTATCCCATTGTTAATAGCACACATTTGTACGGGTGTGGGGAATGGATCGTTCCGATGCGCATTGCATATCTGCAGTGGCGGTTGTGCATATTTCATGCCGTCTTGCTTCCTTCCCTCGTCCCTGTCCGTATCGCTGGGAGCCGCCCAAGAGCAAACACCAGAGCACAGTAAGAAATACTGCCAGAAAGACCCCCTTTTTGGTTTCGTTTTTCTGCAGCATGGGCCCCTTATTGATCTCTTCACCGTTGATGTTGCTTCCTCCGCCGTTGAAACCATGCACGATGGTCATTGCGGCAGTAATGGTGATGGTGACATTTAACAGTCACAGTCCATCTGTCTATGCCATGCTACTGTCCCCATGCAAACGTGAGTACGGTAGATGAACTGTAGGTATGCTCGAAGCATCCCGTCATGTAATGTAATCCTCCTGCCTCTGCCTTTGGCCTCCCTACCGTACCTACATGTAGGCACCCACAAACTGCGCCGAGGAAACAGTAAGCAATATCAACAACAGCCGGACATCATGCACCTTCCGGTACTCGATATTTTCTTACGCGCACAACCTCACCACCACATTACATTACCTTCACCTATCCAAATTCTACCTTGCCCTCACAGCAGTTCATGCACAACGGATGCTGCAAACTGTGACCACCGCTCTGCAAGTACATACCTCCTACTCCATGTATGTAACGGCGACGGACAGGAACGGACGGATGGACCCGAAGTATTCTGCAACTCCAGCTCCAGCTTGATGCAATGCCACTGTCCTGAACCTCCCTACCTAAACTTCGTCTCCCATAACCCCAAGAAATCCAAGTATCATCATCATGTTTGACGCTTAAGCCCATGTTTGGCGGCATATAATCAGTTTTGAAGGAATGTGATATAAGCCCCCCCATCACACAATGCATTTCTCATATCCTACCTTACCCTTCCTATATTCCCACCATCAATGGAAACCAAGCCACTCACTCCCATCGATCAATCCTGCACGCCATCCCCCCCAGATCCAGCCAGATCTTGTGTCATACCCACCTACCAGCATCATATTTCATGCGCTTGTCGTTGATCCCTCCCCAGCCGGCCGTTCACACAGACCCATTCATATGTCTCCAGGTCACGGGCCAGCAACAAACAATATTTGTTTTTTGTATCAAGATCTACAATTGTGATCTGGAGATCTTTAGTGCCCCATTATTGTGTGCCCTGAAAACATGGTCATGGTGGTTGCTTGAACATCGGTGTTTCCACTCCCGAAATCCCCCACATTCTGGCCATCATCGGCGGCTACTCTTCTCACAAACCATGCTCTGTTGCTCATGAGGACTCAGCAGCCAGCTAGGTTGGACCTCGTTGGCTCCCTCCCCCCCGGGTGCTCAACTGCTATCAGTCCGTGCCGCTGCCCATCAGCCAACCCACCACCACCTCCATGCCATCTCAACCCTCAGCGCCGCCGCTCTAACCGTCACACAAGTTCTTTAATTCTTTCCAACAGAAGAACCAGATTACATTCAAACCCCCCATTTTGCTGCTTCAAACAAACTCAGCCCCCAACCAAAAAAAACCAACCAGGGAGGTGAATAAATGTCTGTGATCTAAACCCAGCAACCCACCCACCAAAGTGTCCTTTGTGTAACCGCTCCTTAATATCAACTTTCCCCAACAGGGGGCATAGAACAAAAAAAAAACAAAAAAGGGCAAAAGCGGTGTGTGCGTGCTGCTCCTGATGAATAATGAAACCCATAATATTGTCTTTTTGAGAAAAACATAACTACCTAATCACCAACAAACCATGAAACAAATATTATTCCCCACCCCCCCAAAAAAAGCCAGCAGTATTCTCAAACCGCAAAAAAGAGGCTCAGCAATTGCTGTCCCTTCTCAATATCACTGTTACGGATACCCTTACCTACCTACCTGCCTTACCTGCCCAAAAAATATGCGTATCATACTGACTTGCATCCATCATTATACCTACCGTGCTTGCGCCGATGCCGGGTGGGTGCATACAGACCAGACACTCATGCACCACACACCATGCTCAGTCAGCCTGTCAGTTGTGGTGTCTCTCTCTCTCTCTCTCTCGCTCGCCGATCTCCTCTTTGTTCTGTCCTGCTAAGTCAGTCAGTCAACCAGTCAGTCAGTAGTCAGCCATTCACTTCCCCCCTCCCTTCTCCCTCCCCATCAAATCGGCCATTTTCTCACCATCCCCCATTGATACCAATTCACAACCCCCCCCCCGCCCGCGTCCATTTATTACCCAAATGCAAGACCCCCCTTTCCCATCCATCCATCCATTCTTAGGTAGCAATTCTTCGCGCGATCGCGGAGACAAAAGATCTCGTACATACATACATACATACATAACGCAGCAGTACACATACTCACTCTACATTTGCTTGCTTGCTGCATGTCGGGAATGCGAGCGAGACCCCCCCCCAAACACACAGATCCAGAGCAAAGCAAAAAGGCACAACGAGGGGAAAAAAAGCCACCCCCTCCCCCCGTCCAGGGTTCCCTTCATGCAAATTGTGGTCCAGCCAGCCAGCCAGCCAGCAAAGAGAAGAGCACAATACCGCACCTTGATCCGATGGGGCAGAATCGGGGCTGCCTCTGCTGCTTCATCAGAGCAGTGGGTGGTTTGGTTGGTTGGCTGGGTTGGGTCGCAACTCATAGTACTCAGTGTCCGTCCTGACCGATGAATTGCAATTAAGAAAAGACAAACCCGGCTCCGAGTCAAACTTTCCCACCTAGTTACAGACTCATGTCTCTTATTTTTCGCTTTCAGAATCATGGTCCGCTGCCGCATCTTGTCTTGTCTCGGCGAGAGGCAAAAGCCAACCCGATCCCATGGCCCTATCTCTGTATATGCTTGCCCCCATGTCGTAGCAGTGGTGGTGCGAGGGGGGAAGGGGGGAGGGGGTGAGCTGTAATATGCAACAAAGCCAGGCTAATGTGGGACAGCGCATCGGGAGAGAGACAGATCTTCCATACAGCATACAGAGAAAAAAAAAAGCCTTGAGGCTAACTTCCTGCAGTGTTCCCGTCGTCACCCATGCTGACATGGTGCAGCCGGCAGCAGCGAACAACACCCTCTCAAGCTAGGCCACGACGACGAAAGAGAGGGGCGATAGAGCCGCCCGCGAGAAAAAAATCACTAGACGGATAGATCCTAGCGGTAGAGCTCCGCTCGTGAACGGTTTGGTTTGGGTGGCCTACCACCGGTCAGTGAGTACTGATTGTCTGGGAGCCAATATGGCAGCGGGGATTTTGACAACACTTTACTACCCTCTGAAAGCCTCGAAAAAGATCTGATCTCGCTCGGTTATGGGCTGTCGGTAGAAGAAGGACCGACCAGGGCAGGCACCGGAGGCATCAGCAAAGAAGAGGCGGGAGCGGGGAAGCATGGAGAATGCCGAGGACAACAAGAGGTGCAGTGACGGCACAACCGAGTTCAGTTGCGAATCGCTTCCATTGTCTGAAATGCTTTTGAGCTGTCAGCCATGAAGCCTTGGGAGAGTCGGTCCAAAGACGGCTGGGCGTCCTTCGTTCAGAAGAGTCGATGTACCACCGAAGAAGACAATGACTGTGGAGCAATGAGGAGAGTTGAAGACGGGCTTTCTGGCGTTCTCTCATTGGCTTCCTGGCGCCAACGACTTGGCCATGTCTCTTTTCATCCTGGCCTGGGGGGTTGCCGATGTGTTTATCGAGCGCGACTTTTCGCGAACCGGGGAAGACGACGTCAAAAGAGGGGTTGGTGTAGTGAGGGCGAAGTAGCGGTGTGAGCCGGTTGGAGGGACACAGTGTGAGACAGCAGGTCGGGGGATGTACCCGTTGACAGAAGAGAGCAACAACATCGAGAATGTCTTCCT